CGAGCGCAATGAGTCAGCAGAGTTTTCGTGTGCCCTCAATTTCGAAGAGAAAGAAGAGTAATTTCACAGGCACATATTGACAAGATGAGCCCTTATCGAGGGCCTCGCGTTCTCCAAGGTCAGGAATACGGGAAGTTCATATCTTTCACCAACACCGGGAAAGTCTGAGCAGGGGGTCCGCTGTCGGAGCCTTCCGCAATCCTCGCCGCCCTCCGGCAGCGGTCCGGAATCCGAGTCCGGAGTCTGCTCAGATCCGCCTGCGCAACAGGATTCGAATTGAATCGAACAGGGGGTTTATTACAGGAACTGCATGTAAAATGAAACAGCTTGATCCTTTGTGACTAGCTAGGATAAAAGTGAGGGAAGAATTTGTAAAAGAATGATGAAGGTCACCGTGACGTCATTCCTCCGATTGAGATGTTTCTGATAAAGAAAGATATTCTCTTCGAGATCGGTCTGCGAAAATATACCGAAGGGAACTTTTCGGACCGCGTTGGCTGCAGAAGGAAAGGTAACGATGCCCATAGCGACAAACTTCCCTCTTTGCCTCAGGAGCGCGAATTCCCTCGCGAAAACAGTGCCTCGCATTGCGGATCGCGCAGCACTTCCGGAGGACGAATATCCCGTGCGGCCACCGCGTGCGCGAAGCTCGCTCGATGAGCGGCCGTCCATCGTGGACCGCTTTACAAGTCCACGGTACATTGTTCAACGTTGCCGCCTCCGAAGCATGAGACAGACCGCCTTGAGAGAGGTAGCATGGAAGTTTTCCTCGAGATACGCGACGGGTGAAATCATAATTGTAGCGAATATGACTTGATTGGCGCCGAAGAGCTGGACGTGCGACCGTCGCGAAGCGTCGACCAAGGGAGGATTCACCTGCAATCATGACGCGAAACACTTCAGAGCAGAGGAACCCATGAAAGATACGGTGAAATGCATTCATATAAGAAAATCTATGACGCAGAGCTAGGGTTCCGGCAGTTGAGGGAAAGTCGTGTCCGATCAGGAATCGAACCGCAATCATCGACCTCAATGCGCGAACTTCATGGAGTTCTAGACCTCATGCAACTCTACAGATACCGCCTTGCGTGTCATGCATTTCAGTCTATCCACCGCTCCCGTCATTTCCCGACGCGCCTCTGGCTCGAAAAGGTCGGCTCGGACCGCCCGTCCAAATATCTCATCGCTAGAACACCGACAGTGCAGTACGGGTCCGCGCGGGCCTCCCCGCTCTACCAGATGGCCTCTACTTGCTACAGCCCACCCTACGAGATCAGACGCAATCACAACTATACATCCTTCAACGTAACCTTCATCCTTCAAGTTGTACATACTCTATTCGAGACTAAGATGTGTATTTATACTAGTCCAGCAATGCGGCCCACTCGGCTCGCGGGCACCCTGCCCAATCAAACAAAACAAATAAATAGGAATAGAAATATACTTTCAAGCTCGTACTCCCCGAGCAACCAAGAAAAATTCAGATTCCTTGGTTCAATCCCTAGCTCGGGTGATTTCTCCATATTTCAAAGGGAGTTCTCGCTAAAATCAAGAAATATGACGGTATTGAGTCCGCATCCGGTTGATTATCCAGAATGATCCTCCGGATATTGGATTTCTCTCGGAAGAAGTCCATCGGCCGCGAATCAATTAGAAAATCACTCACTACTTGTAGGTTGGATCTTTCTCATTCGGCGCATTTTCCGCATCGGGTCCTGCGGACGGAAGATCATCATGTCCGAGGAGGTCTTAATTTGAAGACATCGATTGTGTGGGCTGCATCAGATGCTAATATCATACATCGACATGTACCGGGAGGGCTCGCTTCTATTGTTACCCCATGCTCCTCTCGGATATATTTGTTGATTCCTGCCTTGGAGTCTCCCCAGATTCGAAGTTTCTTACCTTTCACTCCCGGAGTCTCAACAGCAGCATGTGCTTGATTTATAGACTTATGCGGTTTTTGTGATGACGTCATCCTTCTCGAGACAGCCCAGCTCTTGATCTGCCATCTCGATGATAGCCTGTGCGATCGGGCTCGCTTTTGGTTCCGTCAATCGTCCGAACTGCTTCGTTTTCCACTACCAGCATCTTCTGCCCAGCGGTCGTCCACTAATTTCCCCCATGAATTCTCTCCGCAGTCCTGCCTTCCGCTAACAAAGCTCACTTTTGCAGCCGCTCACTTCCCTGTCTATGAGGCGTAAGCGAAAAATTGCATCAATGAAGCTGCCTGCTTCGAGAGCACCTTGCTCACACATCCGATGGGGCAGAGACGCTCAAAATGTATATTGTGTCACAGGACAGCTTATCCCGATTCTTGTCTGTATGTTCCATGATTGATGCGCTCCTAATGGCCCCATCCGCTTGAGGCGGATCGATTCTCCCGAGCCGGCGAATCGGAACTAGGTACTCACGGAGAGCCTCGGTGTCGAGCCATCCGAGTCCTTCGTCCTGAGTCTACGGTCGCTATCCCTCGATGGAATTCTGAGGATTCGTTTGTGATTCTGATCATCCGTCGCTACGAAAAAATGTAATAATGAGGAGAGTGCAGGAATGAATTCGACTCTCAGAGAGTAGACTTTGCTTTTTCTTTCGTCACGACTGATTCTCTCGGAAAAATGACACTGTTCGAAGAAGTACACCTACCCTCATGTAAAACATGCCAGATTCTGCCGAGCATTCAGAATCGCTTTCAATTATCATTCCCTTGGCTTGCCTAACTCTGGCATGCAATTTTCCTCTACTGTTCTCTGAATCGACATTTTCTCAGGCTCTCAAGTGATCTAGGGATACGTACCTAAGGAATGAGATACCGAAATAGATCATCGAAGCTCATCAGTAGCTTCTCTGTCTAATTCTCCCGCTGGGCAGAATCCTTCTCAATATGAAGCAGCCGAGCTGCGTGCTTTTCGTATGTTTTGTTCAACCGCCAAGCCGGAATCGTTCCCTCTCTCCAACGAAGTATAGTGAGAAGAACATCTTGCTGCCGATGTACATAAGTAAGCCGGAGGAATCGCACCGATCGTGTAGGATGAACGGATTTTTGCGCCAGCGTCCTAATGAATTGGTTTTCGGCGTAGGCAAGAATTCTTTGCTCAAACGGCTTCTTCAAGAAACGTAGCGGATCGTGAAGATTCTACGCGCAGAATTGCCGGCTAAGAACATCACATCGGATATCCAAGAATGTCAGCCAACTAGAAGGAGTCAATATCGAACTATTGAAAATCTTCATCGGATCGCTTTGATCTCCTAATGAGATTCGGCGAGGTCGGCCGGAGCGAAGACTCTGGCTGGGCGGAAATGGATCGGATCCATCCCCGTGACCCCGGACAGGGGAAGTCCACGAATTCTGTGAACTTCGCAGGCGAGCCGGAAAGCACTGAGTCGACCGAGGGAGATGGGGAGCCCTCTCTGGCCAAAAAGCCTCAGAACTTCAATAGCTCGCGATCACCCTTCTCCTTCTGAAACTACGAAAATCACCAAGCTTCCGAGAAGACAATCTGAACACCCTCCAATATTGCACAGGCGGGGTTATGATCAACATTCTCACTGTTTGTTTCGGAACCTCTTCCGCAGTCCTTCTTCCCGGGAGGAACCAATGCTAAGTGCCTCTGGCGACCCCGCCAATGATTTTTCCGTCGAGATGCACGACAGAGGGGAATACGACTCGTTCGGCTTCGACCGCTTCAAAATTTTCATCCCTCCATACTCGTTGCAACTCGTTGAACTACGGAATGAGGATTGTGAGCGATACGCTAGCATGGTGGTCGAAACGGAGTTTCACATTCATGAGGAGTCATCATGAGCCCATCCATGGTGGTCGGCAAAAGAATTCGAAAATGGAAGGAGAATGCGTTAATCATATATACGAAGGAGAATGAGTGATGAGCACGTCAGGCCCTCGAGACCTCGAATCCGCATGTCTGTATGCTCTCGGACGGGAGCGGATGTTTATCGATGATGATGTCGAAACCATCGAAACTCGTCCCGGGACTTATTGTTAGATCCACAGGGATCCGAATATACAATATCCTCGGCGAAAACCTGATGATGGAATCGTCTTCGTGATGAGGACTGGAGAATGATTGGAGCTGTGCCACCGCGGGAGGGGCGCTGTCTGCGAGAGAGACGCATCGTCTGGGTTTTTGGTGTCGTAGGGCTTGACTTCCGACAAATCGTCGATCTCTGCCAGGACCAAGTTTTCGGTCCCGGCTTGAGCTCACCGACAATCCACGCGAGATCGATTTTGCTAGCGCCGCGCCGTGTGGGGCCCTGATGGCTGATGGACTCTTCTCAGAATACGAATCGTCGAAGTGGCAGGCTAAAAACTAGAAGCTTCATTCCCCAGGTAGGGTGTGGCTCCGACCCTCGACATATGAGCTCGGGAAAGAAACTTCGTGATTCACAATGCTGTTCAAGGTTTCCTTCAGGTGATCCAGGGGTAGATTCAAGCTCACCTCGAAGTATTTTCTGAATGAAGGACAGTCTTATCAACATTGGTTCTTGGGTCTGCGTACACCCGTAACCCCGACGTTCGAGGCTTCATCAAAGGAGTCTCGGTCCTATGAATTATCCGAGAGACAATGATGTACATCTGGCTCGGCTTCGGTCCTGCTCTCTCACCGAATTCGAAATTCGAGAATGTCGCCGGGCTTAGATGCGCCAGCTCGAGGCTCACGCGGGACTATAATAAACTCACTTTCCAAGTGAAGTCATTGTATTGATGTGCTGCTGTCGGAAACCAGTCGATCCTGAGGAATTCAGCTGGCGAGACTTTTCATAGGCTCACGCCTTCATCACTCATCGAGTCACGTGCCATCGCCTATGTTATTTCTACTATCCTGCTAGCTTGTCTCGGACTGAGATTGCGGAAGGACATTGAGGCCGCATCGAGTGCTACCTAGGTATTCTTCCTATGGCTAAGAGAGAATCAGGGCGCAAATGAATTCCTCCTCCCTTAAGGATACACGTCGGACTTTATTTCGAAAGTTATATCTCACGGTCTTATCTCCCCGATAATCGCTCCCAATAAAGGGCGAATTCCGGAAAGTGATCAGAGTGCCGAGTCCTCCGAGAGCGGCGCAGTGCAGGTTGACTCGGGGGTACATGGCGATGGAATCGTGCCCAACCGAAGAATTCCATCGGGAGTGGTTCCCTCCCATGTATAGACGTGGAAGTGTCCGACGGGAGGGCGATAGACACCTTCCGACTTCCGAGAATTTCTCAGGAAAAAAGTGGACTAAGGAATTGACCGTTAGCCACGACCCAGATGATGGGTCTGGATCCCCATGGCGCTCAGATTATTATTTGTTCAGAGCGGTCTGATCGTACTTCGCAACGAGGGTCTGAACACGGGCAAGATCTTCGTCCGTGACAGAAGGTCCTTCGCTGCCGAAGTTATCGTTCAGGTAGAAGAAATCTGGCGAGTTCTCACAAGGGATCGAATCCTCAGGGTATGAGCACGAGAGCGAGAGTTGGTCGAATATCGTTTCATTACCGCAGAAGAACGTGTAGTGTTGAACTTGGATCGGCACGGCATCTGTTAATACAATCGACACTGAGTCGGGATGGCCTCCATCAATGGGTACGCCTAGCTCGTTTCGTTCAGATAAGTATAAACCGTAGAGAACGAGAGTTACCGTTATCCCGCGGAAGAGGATGGCAGAGATGGAAAAGACGGCAGTTGTTCTCGACGTCCGCGAAAAATCCGTACCTGGAGATCGAGAGGATTCGTCTGTTTCGATTACGCTATCCAACTTTTCGAGAGCCGTGGTCTATTTTCTCGAACTCCCAGAGCTCGCGCCACTTCTCACTGAGTTCGACTCACGTTTCAGGGCATCGAAAATTAGTGGTATAAGGCCCCACAATGAGGTCCGCTCCATCCGGCAAGTCGTATTTGAGGGGGCTCTGTCGACGCACTCGACCGGCGATTACGCTGCTGAAGAGAGGCCATGCGATCACGGCCGCTAGACCTAGAATTTCGTAAACAGGACCCGTGACTCGTTAGCCGAGAGATGGTGAGATATAATGGGCAGCGCGTAAAGGGCGCCAAGGGGAAGTTTCCTCACCCAGTACACTGCAAGAGATCTGCATTTCGCTTGAACGAACTTGTGTTGACTCGGTAATTCGGCTCGTCATCGGCTTTTTATATTAAGATCTTCTGTAAGAAGAAGAGAGGCCTCCACCGATACATGACGGAGCCTCTAGGTTTTTGTGCGAAATTTCACACGTTTTCTGCATCTGCCATGGGCATCAGTGGATACCACAGTCATCCCCTGTACCTCGGCAGTATGACACATACGGTTCAACAAGGGTGGCAGCATGACCTTGCCCTACGTTCCTAAAATCACCTACTCAGCCACCAAGAAGAAGCGATCGTCAGAATTTCGTACTTCTCATGAAGCCCGCAAAGAATTTCGCTGCTCCCTGTAGAGCATCACACCTGTCAGCCCGGTGATGCTGAACACAGGGATCGGAGGCACTAAAATGGAAGTCGGCAGATTTACACCGGAGGAGGAATCTTCTGACTTCTGACATTGAGCCACCGAGGTTCGGATGAACCTCAGCCAACGGCATGTGAGTTAGCCACCGGTGATCCTCCCGTGCATCAAGGATCAGATGGAAATTTTAGAAATAATACACAAGGTTTATTTGCACATCTCTCCACGGGATCACAGTTGTACAGAATCCGCTTGGTGAGCAACCTTCTCAGTAGGCAAGAGCAGGAGCGGCGAAAGCATGTCCGTAAGACAGAGCGGGAGCGGCGAGAGCATGTCCGTAGGACACAGCGGGGGCGGCGAGTGCATGTCCATAGGACAGAGCCGGAGCGGCGAGAGCATGTCCGTAGGACAGAGCGGGGGCAGCCAGAGCATGTCCGTAGGACAGAGCTGGAGCGGCCAGGGCCGTTTTGGCGAGGACCGGAGCGGCGTAGGCTCGGGATTCGTAACGCACGGAGGTCGCGATGGGAGCAGCGATCTTGGCAATGGGTGCTCCGTAAGCGAGAGCGGGAGCGGCGTACGAGTGTGCTCCATAGGCGAGGGCCGGGGCGGCGTACGAGTGAGCTCTATAAGCGAGAGCAGGGGCGGCATACGAAGCAGCAAAAGCTCCAGCCTGGGCGGTGTACGCTACGGAGGCGATGAGGGCGAGCTTGGCGAACATTTTCTTGTTTTTGCGATCTGAACTTGATCTGCAGTCCGTTTAGTGACCAGCGCTTATATAGAACAGAGAATCCGCCCATACGGACCAAGTGCTCGTATACGAAGGACAGCGGCGAGCATTTTCGGTGGCCACGCCGAAGGAAGCCAGCGCTTTTTCGAACCCATTTTCTGTTTTTGTACATCGTGGAGGCATTGTCGTCTTGAATGTATATCGTTCGACTGAACGCTTGATTCTACCAGTAAGTGCAGCTGTCATCGTCAAGTCAGAAATACACTCCTCCATCACTAGATCGTGCGGGAATCGAAGCAAACGCTTGTGGCTCGGCTTAATTGTTAGACTCATTACGTCTGCCGCGAAAAAGTTCTCGACTTAGACGATGAGGCGGTCAAGGAGCAAGATCCCTATCTGATCGTGAGTGTCCTCCTTGAGCGGGGGCTCCCAGAGAATCGGAACGAGCGAGCATGATAGACTTGAGGGCTTGAGGGATCCTCCCCACGAGTCTCTACGAGTGACATCTTCTCTATTATCGACGCGTTGCCGAGGAACGATGATCACGAGTTGGACGGGCGACGCGATGGTTCCGAATTCCGAATCACTGAGCCTGTCGTTTTAGAATAATGAAAGAGAAATTTCGGTCGGTTTCGACGGAGCTTGTACGGCAATGCTGCGGCAATGGTTGTAGACTCCGGGATCAGAATAATAAAGATTAATAATCAGCCCGAGTCCCGGGCTCATTCTCTTGCTTGGCTACAAGGGGAGAATGTTGTAAGGGCGCTTTTCGTCTGGCAGTCTTCGGCGGCTCAGAGGGGAAGATTAGAATGATCGATTTCGAATCAAGAGAACCGCGACGCTCTAGCATGGTGAACTTCTGAAGGCAATCATGCTACGAGCATAGAATAATGAGATTCCTGCCTTTGAGAAGCTCCACCTGCAGAAAGAATTCGAATCCCGGAATCGATCCCCTGAAGGAATCCGGACTCTGGTGAAGGCTGAAACCGCCGGAAGATCTGGAGTCCTGCCAGGGAGCCCAGTGATTCGTCTTTCCCACCGAATGGTCGAAACCCGACAGGATTATTGGGCCTAGCATGTCCGAGTATGCCCGGCAGGGCGCAAGCCGCATTCCCCTGCTCTCGCACTTCTTCATTGTGACCGAGAAAGCGAACATCGAACCAAGTTGTGTTTGTCGGCTTCCGGTCTCGACTCCGATATTCTCCAATCATCGCTCTCACCTCCAATATCAAAGCTGAGTCTTCCTGGCTGAGCAAGGGAGCATTTCTCGCAAGGATATCTCTCTTTGGCGACTCCCACCGTCGAGGAAATCCTCCCCGCTCCCCCTGATCGATCCACGGAGGGAAAGGTGTCCATTCGACGGGAAGACGTAAGGTCCCATTCACCGCTCCCAGCACGCATCTCAATGAGAAAATTATCTCATCGGATCCGAGAGGGAGGAATTCAATCCCCTAGGCCCTAGGAGACTCGATTGCTCCGCATCGAATAAGAAGGCGCGGTCTGATAGCCGATGAATCACAACACCTATGGCCTGATGTCGATGCTCCTGACGATGCCGACAGCCTAGATGCTGAACAATACGGGTTGCTGGTTAAAGCGATTATCATCGCCAGCGGGCAGATTGGCGCTTCAGAAAATTAAATTGATGAGGATACTGATTGTTTGGATCGATTTTTTTCGGCTATAATTTTTCACTTCTCGAGGAGGCAGGGCACCTCTTCGATCAACCTTGCTTTCCTCAACAATCTCAACAGAATCGGGACCACCCTGGAGGCTGGAGACATTCCTATATATGACGGAAGTAAACGGGTAACATTGTTTTCCAGAATGATTTATATGATCTGAAGCGACTGAGCGAGAGGAGTGGGATCGTTCCAACAGTGTTTTCTTCTCGCTGCCATGACTCGGGTGAGTATCGACGCCAAAAATACCTTTACAGATAAACTCATTCATCTTGAGTAAAAGATCCCGGAGCAAGGAGCAAACGAAGGAAGGCACCTCATTCCAGTCGATGATCTCGCTATACCTAGGCTCCGCTCGAAGTTCACCTGACTTTAGCTTCGCGATTTCTCCACCTAATTTTTTCATGCACTCTAGCCAGTAGCGTAGTGAGGCGGGGGCGGGGGGAGGGCGGACCGCCCCGGGCGGCACTTCCTACGGAGCCTTTAGGGGCGGCATTTCGAGGATTTGCACCAAAAAAACGAAGTGTTTTCGAGGAAAATATCTGGCGGGGGGCGGCATTTTCGTCAGGCACGGTGAAAAAACAGGAAAATTCGAATCACCGCCCCGGGCGGCACTCCGGCTCGCTACGCCACTGACTCTAGCTCTAGAAACGCGGCTCGAATGGCTATTTTCGAGCTGTTTTCAATTCAGTGACAAACGACTATCTCTGCCGATCGCATTCGCGACGCGAGAAGCGTCCACTTGATCGAGATACGAGATCGTTTTTCACGCTGCTTTCTTTTGCGAATCGAAGATCGTCGTCCTGCTGCATCGCCTTGGATGGGGAGTGGGCTGGAACTGATGAATCAAACATCATAGAGAATTCAGTGCGTCCAAATCCGCGATTTTTCATGTTTCCTTCTTTGACTCCGGCACTTGAGTAATGTCAATCGAGATGGCGGACGACAAACATTTCCGACCGTAAAATTGATCGGATAGCCGTGTGCATGTACTGCTCCTTGAATTTGCGATACTGTGTCGAATATACTGTCGATCGATTCGAGTTCTTTCTCAGCCGTGAAAATATGTTGATTCTGGATTCGGCTCAAGCCGAGACTCGACTTATCTTATGGACATTTCGGAAACGGGATTTGGATGCCGCGTCCCGACGGATCGCACTAGGATGCTTCGACATGCCAGATCTTCGTACATGGATGAGGAGAAACCCAAAGCGATTGCCGATACCGTTTCCTGGCGGTCTAGCGACTCTCTGCGAATGGATAAGTCAAAATCTGACGATCGTTCTGCCAGTCATGTAGGTATATTAATTGTCGCCTTCCTCCGGGTGGCTAATTTCAGACGCACAATTGAAGCTTCGAGAAGGGCGCTCAATTTATTCTGGCAGATTTTCTCCGCCTTCTTATAGCCCTATCGATACGATTGACTTTCACCTTCAGCCGTATTGGGACTGAAAACGCTTTTGTCTGACGTCACGAGACCGCTGATGACTTTGGCTTGCCACTTCACCGTCGACGACCCCACAGTACACGAGCCTCGATTTCTGGAAAAAGTCTGCGGTGGAGCACTTGTGTAGTACAAAGAATCCCCTTGAGAAAAAATCAGGGTGGTTCCAAGAAGCTCCATCGATGGGTCAGTCGCCGAGCTGTCAGTCAGCGAGAGTGCCGAACAGCCTGTGCTATCGCATCGTCGGGGATTACATCGTTCTCTTATTTTCATTTCCATCAAACGGAGACGGAGCGACTATGCCTGGGCCACGGCGGTAGAAGAAGGAAAGTGTTCGGAACGATATTTATCAATAAATATTTTATTCCGCGAAAGGCGGGATATTGTAAAATCGACCAAATGAGAAGTCGCGCGATTGGTCCGCTCGTTCACTTCCTCACCAAGCTGGGGCTCCGTATGCGATAGCGGGAGCAGCGACCTGAGGAGCAAGATGAGACTTCAGTTCTCAGGAGTGCAGCTATATTCTATCGAGATGAGGTCCGCTGCTTAAAAAGTTTACCTTGTGGGCAGCATAAGAGTAGGCGGGAGCGTGATGAGCGTAGGGCGCGGTGTGGACGACGGGAGCGTGATGAACCGATGAGTAAGAGAACGCGGGAGCGGCAACCTTAGCGATCGGGGCAGCATACGAGTACGCAGGAGCGGCAAACTTGGCGACGGGAGCGGCATACGAGAAGGCGGGAGCGGCAACCTTAGCGATCGGAGCAGCGTACGAGAACGCGGGAGCGGCGACTTTAGCGATGGGGGCAGCATACGAGTACGCGGGGGCGGCGAACTTAGCGATCGGAGCCGCGTATGAGAACGCGGGAGCGGCAACCTTAGCGATGGGAGCAGCGTACGAATACGCGGGGGCGGCAACCTGCTCGAGAGTGGGAAATCCAGAAAACACATGTGAGACTTCAGTATATGCATCTCCGCGAGTCTACAGACTCCCACGACGCCGACGGAATCGACTTGTACAAACCTTAGCGTAGGAGACGGTAGGGATTTGGTGGTTGATCACGCTGGAGTAGTGCACCGGAGAAGCCACTTTGGCAACTGGGGCGGCGTACGCATGGTGAGCGTATGATACCGCAGGAGCGGCATAAGCATGGTGGCCATAGGACAAGGCAGGCGCAGCGTAAGCATGAGCGTGGCCGTACGCGAGAGCAGGAGCGGTGGCGACTGCTCCAGCACGAGCGGTGTAAGCCAGGGCGGCTAAGGCGACGATTTTGAAGGCAAGCATTGTGTCCACTGAGATTCAAAGCGGCGAATGATGACCAGAGACACTTAGTGCGCGGACTTTTATACTGAGGGGAAATCGAAGGCTCCGAGGAACTCAGTATCGGACCAATTTAGTCTTGGCCCGAGGCTCTTGAAGCCCCGCGGCGTACTTAGCTGGCTTCTGTAGAGCATGAGCATTGAGAAATTTATCCATCGCTCACCGTTTTTCTGCTGTTGGGCGGAAGTTGGAGCTCATTATGCATTGTAGTCCCAGAATCATCGAAGAAATTATGGAGACGGAATCCGGAATCGGCTGTGCCGATCTATCTGAGATCGGTTTCTCCGCAACTCGTCCGACGAGCGTCTGTTGGGAGTCGAGAGGCTTTGGCGGAGCCAGTCTCTCGGTATGAGGCCCAATTTCGTAGTTGGATTATCATGGGTGGTAGGAGGTGAAATGTCGAGTCGCGCTTCGGGAATCTCTGGGAGATTTCCATTTGCCAGTCGCGCTGAGCGAAACCTACACTCCTATCGAGTAGTCCATCCCTCGCTCGAACAGAAGGAGGACTTTCGAAAAAGGTTAATCGAAGCGGACGATCATTTGGTCCGATACATCAAAAGACGGTTTCACGATGTCGCCTCTTCAGTGATTGAGACGGAACGGCGAGGCAAGCGGCTCACGCTCAGTCAGTGGCGTCACGAAACCTGATGTCTATCCATACGCCTACAGACGAGCGATAGCTCAGAAAGGTCTGGTACTTTCTCCCGAATTCGCGTTCAGGACGTTATTTCGAGCTGGACCGTTTTCCGCTTCCAGCTACGGGGTGAAGAGGCTGGGCCTTACGGACTTCCAGTCGATTATTATTGGTTCGAGCGGATCGATTCCCGAAAAAAACTTTCTCGATTAGTGGACGACCGAGATCTTACGTTAGGCACTCGCGACACGGATCCGAAGGGTCCGTAGCGATGTGACAGACCGATGGATTCAGAGGATATTACTGAACTCCATTGAACTCTGGGCGACGCGCTCCCATTTCATCCAGGACTATTCGATCAAGAATGGATTGATTTTCAAGAATTGCTGACGCCTTTCGCAGCGCCGAGAATTCGCCGCCCGGAATCAGCCGAACAAGGTCGTCACCCGCATATACTATTGGGTGAATCGGCCCCTGAAAAGGCAGTTTACATTCTCAACACAGCGTCGTTAGACACCGGAATCAGATAAGTAGATGAAGTCGCGCGGCCCACAATTACAATGTCTTGTCACCAAGGAACCTTGCATTTTGTTTCGGGCGTCAATTCCAGTACCACTCATCGTGGAGCACCCGCGGTCGGGCTACGCACATGTCTCGGCGTCAACCGGAATACGTCACTTCGATCACGGAGCCCGAAGGAAACCTCGCGGAAGACCTGACGGCCACTCCACTCGGCGGAACGTCTTGTTGCTCGAGCAGTGTCTTTCCAAAGGCTGGAGTGCATGTTCTGCCTCAACGTCCAAGGCGCCGCCTCGATGATATTCCCAGTGGGTTGCTCGGAAAATGTCCGTCTCGTCAACGACAAAAATTCGCGATTTTCCAACAACGAATCCCGATCGGAAACGCCTCGCAGCAATGGCGCCGAACCGACCATTCGTTGGGTCGCCGCCTTGAAGCAGATGCCTTCGACTGAAATCTTTCCCTATAGTTTAGTCTGTATTCTAATTCAGAGCTTCGAGAGATCACGGCAGTCACTCATATCTCTCCTCACACGCGGAAATGAGCATCCAAATTCATTGTTCTCCTGCCGAGGCTACCGACCGCTGAGCGAGCAGTGGACTATGAGTCCAGTGCTGACCGATCGGTGAGGCGCTCGAGAATTGATCGAGGGGTTCAATCTTTCGGCGCACCTTGACCTCCTCGTGCAAAACGTGTTCTTCTCCTCGAGACTCCTCTCCGTGACCTCATAGCGTGATTTCACTCTGTGAGTCCAATCCGTGGACTCACTGCGTGAATATTCGCTGTTTTCCGAGGAAGTCGCGCTTGGAGCGACCTTGCTCTAGCTGAAGGACGTATTTTCGCCAGCAAGGGGCCGCTCCGTGACGCTGGCAAACTGGCGGTCTCCCGACCTCTATCCAGCTGAGGATGAGTCCTCGGGAGCGATTTCCCGATTGCTGACTCATGACAAAGAGGTTTGGTTTTGTCACCGACCGCTCTCTCCGATATATGAATCGGTTAAACGTTCATTCATATTGTACAAGTCATCCACGTATCCTCCTACACGGGAACGGCTGGTGCGAATGATGAAGGAGGTCAGATACAGGAGGTCTCCTCCTTAAAGCAGTGGTGTTGTATGCATACTGCATCTTACGAGTATGTACCTCTATGTTATTTTTTTTACTTCGTTTTTTTCCTGAGAGCTTAAGCGGTGTTACTCGCAGCTCCAGCGATAAAACATGTGTCAAATCAAATCAGAATTAATGCGCAGTTGATACAGTCGCGAGCGATTTCAACCCTCTGCTTCTCGAGGAATCATTCTTTCAGCGAGAAGCGCATTGGCTACAATGCACGCAATCATGGCTAAATTCGATCGCTTGCGATCACGCAATCGACGTCACTTCAGAGGCACGCGATGATTTGGAATCGTCGCTTCGGAGCGGTTCTCGCACCCGAGCTGTCGACCAGGGCTATCAGAATGCCTCCATAATGAGATCGCAGAGAAAACCCTTCAAAGAGATATTTTAAAATTCTATCAAATCAATGACGATTCTCAGCTGATGAGCATCGATATCAGCCGCGCCTGTATTTCCACGTGTCTCTCGAAAACCCATCGCGAGTGACGCCGACTGAGCTCAGAAATATGGGAATCACCAGGCATGGGCGCCATAGGCGAGAGAAGGAGGGTGGTTGATGGCGGAGTGAACAGAGCAGGAGCGGCTACCTTAGCGTAGGACAGCGCGGGAGCATGATGAGCGTTAGAGAGAGCAGGAGCGTGGTGAGCGTAGGAATGAGCGGGAGCAGCGTACGCGTGATGTCCGTATCCAAGAGCCGGAGCAGCATACGAAAGAGCTGGAGCAGCAATTTGCTGCCGAGGGAGCAGCAGTGTACGGAACGACCGGGCGGCGTGCGCGTGGTGGCCGTACGAGAGAGCGGGAGCGGCGGCAATCGCTCCAGCCTAAACAATGTGAGCCAAAGCGGCAACGATTTTGGGGGCGAACATTTCCACCTACGGTCCAGTATCGAACTGATGGCCGGGAGACTGTGATCTGGATATTTATACGACGCGCGGTACTGAGCTCAGAAAGTTTCAGTGGTCGCTCCGACCAGAAATGACGCCCCGGCCGGAGGCTCGAGGTGTCCCAACTTTCCTGAACGATTCTTTCGAGCGTAGTGTATCGATGAAGGCGTGTTGGCTGTCGAAGACGCTTGGGCGTCTTGCATACTATAGATCTCCGGATTTATTTCCTGGGTACGCCAAGGGTGGTTCCGTTTTGATAAAATCGAGTAGATGAGGGGAGCTCTCAGTTTCACCAACAGCTCGAAACGTTGGATTCGATTCCGATTGGCGAATGGCCTTCATTGCCGTCATCGGTTCCGACACCACCGCTTGTCAGCATGGAAGCAAATTACTGAGAAAGAAAATATTGGACCATTCGGTCGTCGTCGGACAATGTCCGATTCCGTCCGCGTTATCTGCAGATGCTTTTCTGCCGCGACAGAATGCCGGAACGCACACCCAGTGTCGGCTTGCGATAGGCACCTTCGAGCCCTACACTGAAAATATCCGATTTCTGTCTCAAATTGAAAGAACATAATCTCTTCAATGGAATCCGCTGTGTATCAGACCAACCGTGCTCCAAATGCAAACAGGATCCGCGCAGTACCCGCCCCAAAGTACCTATAAACTTGTATCTTGAGCCTTCCAAGGTTCCGTATTTTCGCTTCCGGCTGAACCAAATAGACCCCTTGCGACGATGAGGGAAGGAGGAGACAGGCGGAAAGCCACTCTCGAGCGATCATCCGCACCGCAACGATGGTCTCTTCGTCTCAGACAGCTCCTTACACAAGCAATTCATTCAATTCGAAGCGAATGAAACTCCAATCGAGACCAAGGAGCGCAATTTTTTTTTGGTGTAGCAGCTCGCAAAGGGGTGACCCTATAATTCTCAAAAGGAACTGCGAGTGCGAAAAGGGGAAGGGGACTGAGGGGAAGGCAGGAGGAAAAGTGAAAGAGCTATAGGAAAAAAGTCGAACTTCTTGCTCAGGAAGTTCAGCTGCAGGTTTATTTGAGGTGAGAGAGGCTTCTTCTGTTCACGCAGAGGGAGCAGGCAGCCAAGGTCCTTTCAGAAGTCTCTGCTCGACCATGGGCAGGAGCAGAAACGATCGTGTGTTCGCCGAGACTGTGTTACTGAGGAAGTGCTCACGGTGTCTATAGCGGATTCCTGGTGTACTTCATGCGCCTGTCTTGCTGGATCATGATCTCAAATCTCGTCTCGATGAGCGCCACGAATCAACCAGAAGAAGTGAGTCGAACTGTGCATCTCGCAAAACTCCGAGAAAGTCTTGTTCACCAGGTGAACGCACTCCACTGACTCGCAGACGTCTACCGATTCGAGGAGAAAGAGTGTCCATGCTTTGTCCCTGGTTTCACTAGCCGAATTAATGGGATATTTAATTTCCGCGATAGCGTTCATGTCAAAGGAGCCGCCTTCTCCTCGCTCGATCCTACTCAAGATTGACGATCAATCTTTTAGTGCATACTTCGATCACCCGCCCATACGAGACACGAAGCTTCGGCGGATTCCGCCTATCATCGATTTTCTGAATGCTACACAGGCCTCCCTCCGAGCGCCGATACTATCTGTCAACGAATGAACGCCTGTGGCAGTGCGCTTCGGGTCAGGTTCTCGTGCACCTAAGGAATCCTAATCCCAACGGGGAATTATCGTAGCATTCTATTTGATAACAAAACTGTTCCCCGGGCTGCACAGAAATGCATCATGGCTCCCTACTTTTCCCTCCGACTTCTCGCCGTCTTGCTTCCCGCTCGCTCTTTGCTGTTGATCGTTGAAGATGGCTGTCGACGGGCTCCTTTCGATGACGGAGGCTGTCGAGGCTGCTCGAACTTTACTGAAGAGATACTGTAGAGACAAGCGCCCCCAACAGGGGACTCAGGACTTCGACAGGGCTCCCAGGAATGTAGCCCCGAGACCCTCGCGATATCCGTCGCTGCTTCTACGAGGCATACATGTAGCACCGCGGTGAAGCTCCCCGAGGGGAGGGGTCGAACGTATCAATTGAAGACGATGGATCATCTCCGTCGCTTTCAGACGTCACCTCTGCTCTTAAATCCTCTGACGGTGCTGTCACCGCTCAGCCCGAATCAGGGTGGCCTCCGCCGGCAAAGCACAGGGCGGAACCAGCAACGAACGAGGGGTCGGACGGCCGTCGTAGCCCAGCCACAGGTAATTCGCAGCACTTTCGGCACGATATGTCCCAGTATGAAAGGAATATATTCGAGTCTTGACCTAGAGGTTCTGAGGCGAATTCTCTCGCATCCCTCGGCGATAGAATCAAGGGACGGGTCAAACAGTCGGTTTAGGTCAAAGACAGAGTCCGCAACGGAATGCTCCTCGAGTTGCACCGAGACGAAGACGGGTGAACTACTACATCCTGGGTATCATCAATCGACGCGGACAGTTTAGGGCACTCAGGTACGGAATCCTCATCGCGCCCCTCGGACTTCGGAGGGGAGCTGCCGAAAGGCAGCTCACGATATACACGACGGAAATGTCCTGAATTATTAATTCCGAATCCATCATTCGATTAGCTATATATATCCCCTCGGTGTGCCGCGAAATAATGGGGCCCGCCAGGACAATGTCAACAACAGGAGGCGAACCGCCACCACCGTCATGCCATCCATAGGTCCAGTGACGACAGGTGAGCGGAATTCCTCTCACTGCAGCAGTCAGCAGGGACTCTTCATATTCACCCGAACTCGAATCGGGACGCATTTCACCATCTAATCAGCTGCCATCGGGCCCAATTTCGAGCTCATGGTTCTTGCTGGACTTCAGGGGCAGTCATGCGTCCCGAATGAATGGTCAAAATTTTATTGGACAGCTTTAAAAAACTAAAATTGGTTCCTCTCCAAGAAGAAACAACCCAGGAGGTCACAGTCTTTCAAACGACGTTCGCACCCGAATTCGTCGTCAGAGGCGAGTTGGACCAAATTTCGCGAGAGGTGGGTCGATTCTTGCAAGACATTCCAGATTCAGCGGGGGAGAATCACGGCGAACTTCTCATTCACCAACTCTCCCATACCCTGTCATTATGCTAGAATCATTCTGCACGTACTCCCTTCGCGAATTGAGAATTTCTCTCTTCCAATAGGACTCGGCCGAGATCTCAAACAGTACGACGGGATACTTCACGAGTAAGCCTTTGCGGAGGAGTAAAAACAGGACGAAGAAGCTGTGGGACGCAAACCTCCGAGATCTGGATGATGACTTGAAGTAGAGTGCAGGAATAAAGGAGTCTCACATGCTAGAGCGAGGCTTGTCAATGAGGCAAACAACCCACAGCGGCTTGCTACAATCGGAGACTTCTCTCTTAGATTTAGCCGTCATGAATCGCTCATGTACATCGAGTCTGTTGTCTGGATTGACGCGGAAGATTCCGCAGCTCGTCCATTAGTCGAAAGGACGGAGCTCATTCATCTAAGAAGTGGAAGGCTTGTGAAAAGGTAGGGCATTTCTACCACATCCATCCGCCCGGCTCCGCTTATTTGCCGCTGCGTCCCAAGCAGTTTTTTTCGCCTCCGATCGAATGCTCGAGCCCCCACTTCGTAACTTAACTGCCGCTCCACAATCGAATGACGTCATTCGTTTTAAGTTCTGTGTTTGTAATTCATTCAATGGAGATGAGCGTTTACGAGAACATGACTCAAAGTATGCAACCCCTCATGTACCACTCCTGTCCCGGTCAGCAGAATATCACCGGAATAAGGAGCTGGATCATCGAGGGTTGGTGGAAACAAGGGTTGCTCCTGGGGGTTCCTTGGTTCGACGAAGTGCTCGCGAGCCGCTGGGGTCTTCGGATTCAAACATGGCTTCCACCTCTGATGGCGGACAGATGGGTGTCAATGCATTTGCTGATCAACCCCGTCTCGATGGAGCCGCGAGGCTCTGGGATCCAGAAGTATTTCACCACACGATTGAATTCCTCTTTTTCCGGTTCAACCTTCTCCTGGCGCAACCTAGAGACTTCGACCGAACAGAGCGAGAAGCTGGAAAAAAAGCCCTATCGCATCGGCGAGTTAGCCTCTGCCACTGCAGGACCTTAAATCACCGCATTATCGGATGCGGTTATGTCTATTTTTTGAGTGCTCCTTCAGAACAAAGTTATGCTGACCAGCTTCGCGGCCGGCACCACAAAAATAGTGAGCGCTCCCTCTTCCCACTTCCCCTCTCCGCTAACGGTGTTCTGTGACAGCGCGCCAGATCAGCTGGACGGGTGATCCGGTCGACGTCGTGGAGAACGTCGTCATAGACAACCCACACTAAATCGGAAATTTACGCGTCAAATAGGAATTCTCGATTTTTGCGCACGACGCAAAAATCTGCAGAATTCATTGTGCTCCCACCAATCGGATAGACTCTGTTGTGCCTCAATGGATAATCTTTCCTAGGAGACGGTCTCGCCCCACCAAGTGAGTGTTCAAAGTCGTCATTTGGCATCTTACGGGCGCCCTGCAGTCGCGCATTTGAACCTTGACGCGGTAATTGATGTCTTCGGTGCCATAGATATCAGATGTGGGTCACGATCCGGCCTAGGTCACTCTGTTGGAGATCTCCCCTTATACCGTTTGCTCCGAACTCGATCATGGGTGGAGGGTACCCTCCACGTATAAAATGCAGGGGACGCGGGGAGGGCAAGGCGGAGACTTTATTCGGGAAACTACTCCGTAACTTCTTGAAAAACGCTAAAAAAACTCCCTTTGATTGTCATTCATCTTCACTCGTTCTCATGCTAAACGAGAGCACCGGAGTCATCTCGATGCTTCGGAACTTCAGTTTACGACCAGCAAGGGTTCGTATGGACTAGAAATCGGCGGGAAGAGGCTTCCGCATAGGAGCGATATGAACCTCGAGCGACATTCATCTCCTATGTATACTCCCGAAAACGTCAGGGTGGGGTTTAGAATATGGCAGGCATGCCTTATTTTATATAAGCTTTAACAATGATGAGGGTTAACCGGGAGGATCTTCTTGTTTTCCTGTTTTTCTGCTTTATCGGTGCTGCCTCTTCATGGTGGCGATCCGTAGAGATTCAATCACGGACCGGAGTCACCGGATCCTTGCCTTCGAGGACGGCTAATATATTGCTCACGGCCAAGTCTCCCATCTGAACTCGAACGTTTGTTTCGGCGCTTCCGATATGAGGAGTGATGAGGAGGTTGTCCAGGGTCAGGAGCTTCGATTCTTTGGGCAGAGGCTCAGGCTCGGAGACATCTGTGTGATTTTGAGAAATAACGGTGAATGATGGAGGGAATAGGAGTGCTAGTCTCGACGATCGAGTATCTCAGCGCCACGTGAAAGCATTCCACAGTCTCAAACTATATCAAGCTACCGAACAAGGTGCGGCATCCCGTCTGTCAGAAAGCTACATGTGGTCGGATCAGTGTGGAGTAATCTCCTAGCCACGGAGACGGTCGCTCATTCACTCACTAACAGGGTGACACAAGGGAACCACAAATATGTGACCTTATTGGGGTCTCTGACGACACTCAGTCGAACTTTGCCGCTATGAATTTGTGGAAATCACATCTAGCGCTCTCGCCGCGTTCCGATTCACTCAAACCTTTTGAGCCGTCGTCGCTCTAGTACTTTTGAACACTTTCACTCACCAAGAGCTGCCGCGCGGATAACGCCGTGCTTAAGAGCTTCGTACAACGCGTCCTGGTCAACAACCCCACCCCTGGAGGTATTTATGAAAACAGCAGTTTTCTTCATTTTGGCGAAAGTTGCTTTGTTGTACATGTGGCGAGTCTCCTCGTTGAGATTAGTCTGTGGAGTAGAGCCATGTGATCTCATTATGGATTCTGACTTTCGAAAGCAAAATTGACTTGAATTTTCCAATCATTCAAGTGAATACGGGACGTTTCTGTTCGCCTTGTTCGAAGAAGCCGGTTGATACCCGCCAGAGAAATGCGATAGATCGATTGAGCGTAGGGGAAAAAAGATTCGGTTCAGACGCAATCGCCGTCCACAACAGGGGAAGAAGTCCGACAGGTCTCGTGCCCGTTAGAATACACGATGTTGGATTTTTGTCTGATGCCGAACGAAGAAGTGCTTGTTGAAGAAAGAATCGGAGGAACGCAAACACAACTTGACGAACGGTCAAACACAGGGAATCTTCTCCATGGTTCAATTCATTGGAACAGCTGTCTCGATCGAGGAGTTTTCGAAGCCGGATTGCCTGATGCCGCTGGGAGCTTACGGTCGCTCGGAGCGCTGGCGCATATTATGTCATTATTCGCCGAATTAGATGCTCGGGCATGTCGATGAGGTGCTCGTCCGGCAGCCGTGAGCAGCTCCCATGAATACGTGCCGTTATCAAATATTCGCTGGTCTGTCCCAAACAGCGCGAATACCATGCTCCAACAAGCGAACCAGAGCTCCCGACCGGAGGGAATATTGACAACATCTTCGATTCCGGTAACAATGAAATGAAGAAGAGTTCCGTGTTCGTCTTTCTATGTTCGATAAACCATGCTCAATAAGAGCCGATGCAGACATTCGGGCCGCGACATTCCCTACTTTTCTGTCCGACTCCGGCGCAGTACGATGGATAGCAGAGACTTTCTCTTGAAGCATCACACAGAAGTAAGAGCTGAGTCTGATGTGATCTCAGCGATTTTTTTCGTGATCTACGGATAAATAGGCGCCGGAGGACCAATATAGAGAATGAAAGAAGACGGGGATGGAAGGGAGGGTAGCGAAGACGGAAGTGAGCCGCTCTGTGAAGTTAGAAACCAAGACCATGATCAAAGACAGGACGTGACGGAGAGATTTTCTCGCCGAACGGTGCTGTACACTTGGATAAACGACCGATCGCAAGGAAAGTTCTGGAGGGATGCTGAACGCCGCGGATGTTCCGGTGAGAGTCCGAACACAGTCTTCGCTTGTCCCGCGCTTAGCGTCTCCGTATTTTGGTTTCCTCAACTCACCAGAGTCACGATGAAGTCGGCGCTGGAGAGGACCTCGTCAAGAGGCTTAAACTTGCAGCCCATCTTCTCTGCCGGCTCAATGGGGTGGAACTTGTCATAGTAGATCGCCTCTTTGATGCCGAAAGCTTGACAGCGCGAGAGAACGCTCCGTGCGATTTTCCCCATTCCGACGAAACCTGGCCAAGCAAAAGCCGTTCGAATTAATTATCATCAGCATCGGGATCGAACCTCCTCCTCGACACGTCGAAGAGTTCGAACGTTTCTCCTCTTCCAGATCTGACCACCAGAGGGAACATCAGATCGGTAGATGGCCCCCTTATCGGGCAGTGGCGATTTCTCTGAACCAGTGTCGAGTCATGCGGTCTTCGAAAAAAAATAGCGTCGTCGAGGTGTTCCAGACCTGATTTCAAATGGTCAAGAAAGTGTACTAGATTCCAGCGGGGAGAGGATTGCTAAATGCTGTCGAGACATCTACAGTGATTACGGAACCCCCGCGGCGGTGGCACTCGTGCAAAACACCTGATGTGGGCAACTGTCATTCGATGTGGCGCCGAAAGTCGCCTGCACCACCCACAGGCATTGTTTGGTTAGGTAAGACAAAGTCATATTGTGGAACAAGAATCGTTCCTGGCGCAGGTCCGTTAGGATGGCGCCGGCGCAAGTTTCACCAGCAGCGATAGCCTATGGTGACTACATCAACACGGCAGAAGCGACAACGGTGGCGGCGGCGGCGGTGGCAACGACGAGACAATTGCCCTATGATGACAATGAGAAGTCATTCGAAGAATCGTCTCCGTCGTGGGCGCAGCCGGAAATCGTCAGCGAAGTTGTGACGCCACGACCGTCGCCAAACACCGTCGTGATCTGCTGAATGTGTGGCTTCGGAGCTTCGACTCGCCACGGCCGTGGTAGAACAAGCAGGCAGGCCGGCCGCTAGCGACAACTTTTGCAGAAGCAGCGGACCAATAGTTCCGCGCAGTGATGAATGAGTCAACGACTGCTGGACGAACGGACGTATTTCCAGTGTGTCGCTCCGACAAGATATAGAAATTAGCGTCATCAGACCAAAAGTCCCCGACGTGTGGATTTGCTCGCGTGTGATCTCCTCGCAAAGCGAATCCGAGTCGAGCGGCTCCTCGGCTCGCGAACGACCCGTCGAGCGGGCGACGAAAAATGCAGATTTGAACACTCCCATGTCAACAAACCAAAAATTCACCGGAAAACTTTCATCATTTCCTCGATTGTATCATCGTTGTGAGCGAGCAACATCTACAACCACGGCTGTTTCATCGAGCTTCACAAAGATGACATTCTTTTGATAGTAATGAATGATTGAGCGGGGAGTTTCGAGCGGAAATTCATTGAACGCTCCGCGGGAATATTCCAAAAATGAGAAGAAGCCGAAGTTGCATCCCGTCAGGTCGACACGAGCTCTCTGTCGGATCGTCACGATCGTTTTCTTTCGCTCCTCCACGTCGGGATCAGTTTTCTTCGATATTCATGTTGTGTTCACGGATGACCACGTGAAGAAAAATAATGCTGGAGGGGGGGACTACGAGATACTATCGCTCTCAGGGATGATTGACACTCACTGTCGGCATTTTTCACAACGTATCGACAAACAAGACAACGCTGCAGTGTTTGTGTGTGTGTGTCAGTGCGTGTGAACATCGGCGATGTCGGGAAACAACGCTCGACTGAGGCTCGACAACAACGCAGAGATATGCGGATATACGCGGATGGGCAATCTATCGATAGCTGCTTGAATAGAGAGGAGTTTTTCGTATGCATTCAACAAACAAAAAATGACCTACCGATCGTCGCTCCGGCGAGTCCGGCGCCGCAAAGCCATTGTGGACCCCAAGAATAAGTCCAATCGCCTCTTTTGATCACGTTTGCGGCTTCGACCACCCGACGACCCGCGACTAGCATCAAAGTCACCGTTAGCTCGGCAACGGAGTCCGACGAGACGAACGGAGTATTAGAAACAGCGATTTTGTGTTTCTCGGCGGTCTTCCTATCGATATGTTCATAGCCGACGGACATGGTGGCGATAATCTTCAAGTTCTCGCCGGCGGCCTCGATTACCTATCGAAGCGAACGAGGATGAGAACATGACGGCGCGTTTCCCCGCTTCCGTTTAAAAAACCCGGCTCCAGAATCCTGAGTTTTCTGTTCAGCAAGCAATTCCACCTCTCGGTGACTCAAGAGGCGAAGCAGGTGGGGCGAGATTAGGGTGATTCTGGACGGTAAGAGAGATAAAATTACGCAGTCCCCGATTAGCGGGAAAGTTTTTGAAGTTCTGACGTCGGCAATCGGGGAAATCAAGAACAGAAGAACTCGGTGACGCTCCGAACATTGCAACCTTGTGCACTGAAATCTTACCCCGGCCGTGAAGCAAGTCGAGCGTTAAAATACAAATCCCGCGATACGTTATCTGATTGTTACACGGTTACTCGATGGTCCGAAGCGATTCACCTACTTCGGAGCTTTTCAGAAAGACTCAAGGAAATTCTGCCGAATCGCACCAGGACAAATCCCAGAACCGCATTCTTGCCCCGCTCATCAGGATGACAATCTAACCTCTGCGTCGATTGGGTCAGTGAGCATACAGAGGAGTCCATCCTTGCCCTTGATGGATTTCAAGAGCTCCTCCTTGGTGATCGGCCGCTCTTCGGGCTGAATCTCGACATCGGCGAAAGCCTTCAATTTCTCCAGCGACTCCGCAGGAATATCGGGACGGGTGAGGAGTACTTTGGGTTTTGACATGGTCCGGCCGGTTATCTTCGGGGGACCACGCAAGTTTGGCAAGCTGCAAAGAAGCGAAAAACTCTCAGCGCTCCATCCGAACCAATCTGGCAGAATTCGTAGCGGAGCAGTCGAGAGCTGCTGCGATAGCCGCTCGTGGTCTCGCATTTCCGGTCTTAAGTATGCTATCTGACTGAGTCTCCTCCGCATTCAGTGGGTTCGGGAGTGATCATCGATCTATGGCGAGTATAGAAATTCGGTACCGGATTTCTATGCTCGGGTAGAGATTCGGAGATTTCGGGGAAGCGAGAAATGCTTACGACAAGTTGGATAAGGCTCCAAAGAATTGCATTCCGGTACCACGTATGGTGCTTCGGGAACTCGAGTAGAACTTTTTCCAGAAGACGACTAGGTAGGCTGCCGTTTCCACCTACGGAAAATCCGTAGCGACTCAGTCTGGATTATTAGGAAAATTTTCAAGCAGCGAAGCGGCTCATTGCCGTCGGCCAAACTCAAAATAGAAGCTAGAGACGACGCGCCCGCAACGCTGGAAGCGAAACGTCCGAAGTAGACCAGGCTGATTTCAACATACTTAGGAACGGGACTTCTTTCTGTCCAAACGCTCAGATCGTGATTCCACGCCGAACCGCTCGAATTCTGACATAACCCCGAGACGCTTTGTCGCAAGTCGGCTCGGCGAGTCTCCCGACGATTCTTCCACCAGTCATCCAAAATGACCGCGCGGGGAGTTTTTCGACGTTGCAGATGGGTCTCCTCCGAAAGAATACCGACGCACCTTTCCGATTCGGCGATATGACCCATAACGAAAATTTCTTCTCTGACAGAGTCGGTAGTTGGGATCAGCCGAAGGCGCTGTGCATCGATATCCGTTCCTAATAGAGTCGAGATCGTCCCTGGAGAGTGAACGATTGGAATCGTCACGAGGTCTGAAGTTTATCCGCACGATGGGCTTTCGTCCCGTGGACGAAGGCAGAGACACCGCAGCCCATTGGGCTTTTGTGCTTGAATCAAATTTTTTGGCAAGAGGAAAAACCCAAGAAAGTTCACATCGACGTCGACATTCGAGTGATAGCTTCAATCGAGCTGGAAGAAAGGGCGTGGTGACGTTGCTCAGCCGCTCGGTTCAACCCCTGATGTCTACCACGCAGGCGGCGACCTCAAGCTCCTTCCTGGAGCTAGGAAAATGGAGCTAGCGACTTTCGACGGGACCAGAAGCAGCTAGGCGGCTATTCTTATTCGAAATCCCTCGGATTCATTCGCGGATCCGTGAAGTTATCTGTTGAGTGCAGCAGTCTAGGATGCAGAATGAACAGAATACCCCGTGACGTGGATGCTGATCGGATGTTTTTCGGCTGTTTCTCGCAAATTTCAATTCCTTGCTCCGAACGGGGCGGGGGACCGCACGAAAGCATCGGGCGGAGTCGGTGTGAGATGATGCCATCTCCTTTCGATCCCTCACTAATGATTCGGAGTTCGGAAGACACATAAATTCACTCAAGATCATTGTTACACGCTGTCCGAGATGTCCTGCCACGTATCGTTGGGTGAACGGTGACAGTGGCTCAGTTCCGCCATTGTTATCAGACGATTTCACCCAAAACAATCGGTCCGACCAAGGTGCTTCCTTTCGACGCCGAATGAGGACCATTGTTGTTCCATGCGGACCCGGCGAGCTCATCTGTCCGCCAAAAAGGTGGAATACGCTTGATCTGAGCCTTTTCCAGAATTCCCGGGATCTAAATACCTTGCCCGGTACATGGACGGGGATGCCGTTCGTAGGATCACTCCGAAAATGAATACAGAAAAGCTAGCGTATAGAGCGCAGATATTCCTCGCCGAAAGAGGGCTTCGTTGTGATCGACCCCAATGCTCGTGAGCTATCCACCGTAACGGTGTTTACAATCGGCTCGGCTTTTCTGATGTCGTTACAGTACTCGTTACATTCTTCGGAGGCAGCCAGGATGCTTGTAGGGGGTCTTCGATTCGCTCGTTGAACGTTTTGTCTCAGTCAGAGATGACGGCATCATCGCGAATGCTACGAAGCAGGTGGACCGGCAAGGGAGCAACAAGACTTTAGCGTGCGAACTCCACGGAAAAACCGGATGACGGAGTGCAGTAAATCTTCGGATAGATGGTTTTGTTAGGCGAGTTAAATGGGGCGAGCGGTATTCTTCGTCGTTGAAGACGACCATCCCGAGCTCTGACAGTATATCGCTTCGGAAAAACACAGTCGGCTAGGCGAAAGTATGCGAATCGCCTCCACAAATTCAGAGGCGACTCCCTCGGAGCTCTTCCGTGAGCGTTTTTCGGAAATGGTCAACCCGAAACGATGGATTCAATTGCACTTTTCATGGAATTTGTTGAATCGCCGGAAATGGAGATTTTTCTCTATGGACACATTTTAGCCCGGAATTTTTTGACAATACCTCGACAAAAAAACGTTCCAGTTCGATACCCCGAGCTGCCTTGTCGCGGTCTGTTGTCTCTTAGGTCGACGGTAATGAAGCTCAGCGCGCGGCGAGCTTTCCACGGAGCGACGGCGATGCGGCGCTTCGATTTTCCATTGTTAGAAAAATGAAACCGACGGACCTTCGGGCTATCAGCCGGTCTCAACTTTATCATCGCATGGTCAAATGCTATTATCATTTTCTGTCATTTCCAGTAGCCTAGTCTCGAGCTCGATGGCGAGCCCACTTTGAGCTGACGCGGGCGGATGCTGCAGCTCTCACAGAATGTTACCATTGGGGGTTGTCGGGGAGACCGAGATCCCGTCGCTATGGATACGATCGCTCCCCCGTACCCACTGGGGGCCGAGCGAACATCGAGGCCTATTTCCCCCGAAATCCCATCGTGGCGATGCTGGCTTCGAGCTAAGCACCCGGGATCGGGGGCGGGGGAAAATGGAAGCGCACCAGGAAGCAATAGCCGCAACATGCTATCGGTGTTCGAAAACCAGAATTCGTCATATGGAGGCGGAGGGACACAATGGAATTCGATCTATCGACAATGCTACTACCAGAAACCGAAATGCTTTGAAAAAGCGAACAAGGTCAACGATCCGATGTGAGCCTCTTCGAATGAGACCCAGGCGAACATCGGCCGAGATATGTATTACACATGTCCCTGGGAACCCTGAGAAGGAAGCGTGAGCCAACCTCGGGCTCTTCGTTCAAAACTATTCAAGCTCTCCCGGAAGGATGTTGCTCGACAGCTATCCATCGAATCCCCCAGGGGCATCAGCGCGAACACCCCGAGGAAGATCGAGGGGAAGTGACCCTGGAAGAATCACTCCTGAAGTCAAAAATCATGCGCCGCCCGGGAATCGAACCCGGGACGCGAGAATGGGAATCTCACATGATACCACTACACCAGCGGCGCCGCATGGAATCAGGGTGCTGAAGTAGAGGTCATTCTCGAGCTCGAACTCGATTTTGGCTCCGAATTCTATGAGCTCAATCCCTGCTCTTTGGGATTTGAGCTCGGGCATCGGATAATGTGTGAAGACCTTAGGCTTGGAGCCTCACTCGATCTTCGGCCAGTCCTACGACCTCCTCTCGAGCCCCCAAGCGCACTCAATCTCGAGACCGAGGCGCCCCCTGCCGGTTGTCGACGACAATCCACTGAGGCGCCGCACAATTTGAAGAGCTTGACTCGGTCGCAGGTCTCCAGACCACAATGACCGAGAACAGCACGGAAAACAGGATTTCTCCTCACGGAGCGATACGGCTAAATGCAGTGGAGCCGGGCTGAGTGATTCGAAGCCGAAATATATGTCGCGTCCGCAGCAGAAATTGCATTGTTCCGTAAACGAGAACATGCATCGCCATCGACCATGTGGGAACGACACAGACGGCAAGGATTCCTCGCAACACATGTCCCACGGTGGCCCACGGCTATTAATTAGGAACCCTCGCATCCATAGATGGCCATCGAATTCCTCTTCAGATATGCCAGGGATTCTCTTCCACAGTACACATCTCAGAACGAGGGATGACAAAGCTTTCTCTCCTTGCGATAACGATCTCTCGGGGAGAAAACGGCTATGGTAATTCCTTACGGACTTGGTTTTTGGGAGCGCAACCACTTCGATCTGGAGGTTTCCATCGCTAAGTAAGACCAAGTCGATTACGTTTGGTGGATGGTACCCGGATGCGACGCGAATCCGGAATCGATTTAAGAATCACGGTCCTGCTATCATACGTCGAAAATGTTGTTATCGATTGAGTGAATGGACAAACTTCCATTGGCTTGCTAGCACCGTCAATTCGATGGCTACTTGCCGAGTGCCTAATGGGCGACGTTACGCGATGGCCAGATCTGCCGTTTCTCTCGATACTAGAAAACGTGAGTGGAGGAGAAAAAATTCCGTGCGACTAGGCGTTGACAACGACGTCGTTCTGCTTATTCTTCTTTCAATTAGAAGCAGCCACTCGGACAGGAAGACTGAACTTATTCTATGTATAAGCGACTGTGTGTGACTTCTTTCTGCTCAGTTGAGTTTCGCGGTGGCGAACGGCTCCACCCAGAGACTTCTCACGCGATGATGGATTCACTTATGCGTCCCAACAATGGGAGCCTCGTGAATCTTCTGCCTTTTCGCTCCGTTCCCGAAACGGGGAGCCTCGGCGTCCTCGAGGGGTTCCGACCGTCCGACCTGAGTGTCCGCCCCTGGATTCAGACATTGATTCGAGTCGCTTTGGGATATCGCAGAGAGCACTCCTCTGGCCCTCGAATCCGTTTTCATGCGAATTTCATTGACCGAAAGACTCCGCATGTCTCACGAAATGATACTAACATCAATGCTCGGCACCTATGCGTCAGGCGATGACCAGTTTCCGAAAATGCCCTTGGAACGGTGTCACGCGAAATTCAGTCTCGCTCGCTAACCGATTGAGTAATCTCGTCATGGGTTACCAAAAAGAGTGCGTGCCGCTGTTCCGAGCGGTTCGAAATCCCCGCAGAGACCGGATTCGGAAGCCGAGCGAATATCGAGTCGATAGCTCGGATGGATGCGAAAACGAACTGTCGGACGCGAATTCTTGAACATCTTCCTCGACGTGACGAGCGGACGGCTGAGCGAAACTTTCCCACAAAAAAATTGCGTGTCAAGAATATTCCACATTCTCTGTTCACGCGGACGGAATTCAATATGAACGATTCACTCGGTTGCAGTACGGGAAGCAAAACGACAACGAGTTACCTCGGCGTGTGAGACCGTGTTCAATTCGCTTCGTGCAAGACAGAAAAACCCCGTGTGGGAAAGGAAAAGAAGTGAGCCAGGGAGCTAAGCATGTTTGCGGCGGCGTGGAGTGTCGACGGCAATAATCATGGAGACGCGGAATGGTGGTAGTGACCAAGCCGAACCGCATCGTGGTCGCTCTTTCCAGAAATGCAAGTAGCTCTTCAGCGTGGCCCACCGCGTCGCGTTGTCGATCCGAAGCAAGATCTCCTTTTGATCGTTTCCTTCGGTGTCGTTGTGGGGGAGCCCCGTTGCCGTCGCCGAATCCACAAGTAGAAAAAAACAGGAGCATCCCGAGCAGCGTCGGACGGGCCCGAGAAACTCGGAACTCGCAGCGTACCCGGAAAGAAGATGACGAGGTCGGAGCTATCGGAGTTAGATCAAAACTAAATTGATGTCTCCGCTGACCCCGTCAGCTTATAATCCCATTCCCGCAGAGACGGTGTAGGGAAGTCCAAGTTTTTTTCGAAATCCTGCTTGATGGCCTTTGAATCGGCAACAATCACCGCCGCTCTCTTGACCTGTCAAGCTCGAGCTTTTTTGGCAGCCCGACAAAGACGCCGACAAGGAACTTGTTAGTCAGCTCACTAACTAGCACCGCCAGCAGCCGTGCGAAGTCAGAAGCGGGATTCGAATGGAGAAAAACTGAATGTTTTCAACTTATGACACAACTAACGACGGCGATATTCTCTCGGATGAGACGCGGAACCATGCTCGAAGAATGAAGAAAGCTAACCGGAGCGTTCCATGGGGAGCATCGCGTGGGAATCGCGAACGAGAAATCCCTGGATGTGATCATCTACTCTACGTACAACTCCGAGAGATTAATTTTCCAGAAATCCCAAGACATACGTGCTGGCAGATGCGAGTCCTTCCACACCGATTATCGGGGTTCTCCTCACTATGCAAGAGAAACGCTCAATACCCAACATTTTCATGGAGCCTCGAAGCCCGATTCGAGAAGGCGACATCGCGACCAAGGAAGCCTCCCTGACTGCACACAGACTCAGACTGGGGAATGGTTTAGACTTCCCGTTAAGATTCATCTCCAAATTTAAACAAACTTCACAATACCGCGCGCCGTCCCGAATGAATGGCGTGTTCTCCCCTTGTTGAGAAGAGCTCGATTGCTCCTAATGGATACTCGTCTCACGGAACGATCAGACGGAAAAACGTGGAGAAGAACAAATTCGGGACACGGATCAACCGCATATTCATCGCTGCGCTCAATTCGGATTGATGTGAAGAAAACGACCCTGAATTCCCCATTGTCTTTCGCGGTGCGGCTTCAATTACTACCACGAACCAGGGCCGCGATTAAGTTCACTGAATGGCTTCAGAAGCTCAAGGAGCATAAATAGAATCAGTAAAAGAAAAACAAAGCCCAAAATTTCCCTGAACGCTGTCGACAATATAAGTCATTCTCCAACTCTGCCCGAATGCAGGTGAATCGAACGAGGGAGGGTGGGAAGGCCGGTGACTGACCGCTGTCGGAGAGTAAACGGCTCGAATGACCTCAGCACGTAGTCGATGACAAGCGGGGCAGATTGTAAGAGCTCGAGCGTGTTTTCTCGAAAGTCTGCGGTGATGCAATTCAATTAGGCACGCCTCAACGTGATTCGATACACCGCGTCGAATTCTCCGGATTCTCGCAGTCATAGTTCAAATCAATCACGGCCGTCAGTGGCGCAAAGCAAAACAGGTGCTCCGGTCACGCCGGGCAGAAACTCAGATACGATGTCACTCGTCTCAGTTAGAGCCGCTGCTCATGGATCCTATCGCAGATCACGGTCTCCCTGACCAACTCGGCTGAGATCTGGATGAGCCGAGTTGTGAACTCGATTTTCCCCTCGCGGAAATTCCCAGCCGACCCGAACCGCTCATCAGATGAACGGAAGCGGGTGCTTCTCCTCGATGGCGTCCGAAATCGGATGATGCGTCAGGGGAAACGCTATACTTTCTTCAGAGAAAACGGTAGTTGGCCACGACCGACGTCGACTCCACTGCCGCTCACTATGCTTTCTTTGTTGTCCACCGTTCAAGCGACCTCTCATCTGGCTGAATGGGCTTTCGACTGTCGCTACTGTTGCCAGTTGGTCGCCTGGTTTCTTGGTTGGCTGCTTGGATGCTTTTGCTGGTGACTGGCCACTTGCTTGACTGGTCCACTGAGTGGAAGCTTCACTTCTGTAGGAAAAGTCGCGCCATCCCACGAAAGGCTTTTCCGACGACGCAAGAACTAGCTCACTCAGTCGGTCGGTCGTTGTTGCTGCTGCTGACGAGAGCGACAACAACGACGAAGCGGTCTTCTTTGTCTCGTAGCACTGGTCCAGAAAAACGTTTCAGTTTTCACTGAGTACTCCCCGTTTTTTTCTCTCCACTCTCCTCGTTTCCTTTCCGCGTAAACGAAGACGACACTGCCTCAGGCCGGAGCTCGCGCTCAAACTGACACTCGTGGCTTCTCGATGGACTCTGGACAATCGTCTACGGATTCAGGAGCCGATCGAATATGATGAATTGCGAGCTCGGGAATCGCAGGGGTGGGATCATTCATTGATATGCATGCGGTGACCGGCTCCGGTCAAATCATGTCTTCGGGGAAAAAACCTAATCTCTGACGATCAAACTCTCCGATCCCGGCGGTGATCGCGCGGAACCCGAGAAATCGAATAGAGTGAAAGCCGGTAGCCAGTTCATCGCCAGTGTCAGGTTCGCGGGACGAAAATTCAATCCAGACCAAGAGCGCGTAGTGAATGAATCGCAGGAAGCTGCTGCCGACATTTGCCGCATTTGAAATTCACTGACCTGACCGGTAATTCCTAGTATTTGTTGCTTCACGAGTAGATAGACCGCTGCCGGCGTTTATGTCGACGGGCTGTTCGAGGGACAATGCGGAAGCAGTCACGTCGTCGTCTTTCTGGCTCGCTTTAGTTAAGCAGCTGATCTCGAAGCCAGCGCCCTCGACGGAGACCAGCAGAAACTGACAACCTCAGACCTAAACAAAGTAAGCAATCTTCACGTACGCCATTCGTCAGAACGGCATCGACGAGGAAAGGCTCATATTTCTCATTCCCCATACTGCCGTGATGATTCTGCGATCGCCTCGGCTCATTCTGGACGCCCGCGATGAATATCCATTCACCGCGCGGAAGTGGAGATAATGCCGGGAGTGGAGTTCAGTCATTGTTATTTTATCTCAAGAACTGAGCATGAGCCTTCACTCACGATAGCGAGCTGCAGAGCACCAATGGCAGGTCTCGGGCGGATGATTCGCAGGACTGGCAGCGCCGAGCGAAGATTCCCTGCATGGAGTTCCAGCGAGAGAGCGAACGAAGTTCTCGTCTGATCGACTCAGTCACTGAGTGACCCTTTCGACCGGTGAAGCTCATCTCGTCACCGCGACTGTTTGGAATTCTTCGCGAAATGTCTGCCTCTGAAGGGCACAATTTATTGGGCTCGTAAGACGCTATAGCTCTCAGAATTATCGCTTTCGACGCCTTCAAAGAGTCGCTCGCTCTAGCTGGGCTGAACCTACTTGCAATAATTGTCAGCGACATCAAAAACGGAGGCAATATTAGGAAGATGGAGCTTGGAAGTCAATTGATCCTCGAGTATCGCGAATTGAGAGAACGATGAGCATGCGATCCCAAACCCCAGACGTATTCCGCGGGTCACGATTCTCGATCGAGCATTAGATTTGGATGAAGGGATCATCGGGGGAGTCCGCTGGGGATGGATGAACGAACGTGAACAGAATAAAATCTGTTTCTGCTTTTCTGTACCGGTTGCGGAACGGAAGATACTGAGATGATATCGGAGACTGAGATGAGGTTTTCGATGGGTTGATTGGACCTCAATCAGTCCCAGCTTCCCCCCGTGGCCACACAGCCGAACCTCGAGCCTTCGGTGGTAATGAGAAGATATTCTGTCTCAAGCCAACGGGCGAAGTCTCGACGACAACTCGCTCCATTTGTTTCTGAGAGCGATTCACAGCCCCCGTACTCGACTCTGAGGTCTCACTCCCCGATAAGAGTTAGCTGCCCATCGCCGCCACTAATTAGAATACCGCAGTCAACTCTCAGCCCTGTGAGTGAATGGGGACAGCCGTGATCCACAGCGTCGGCATTCCGAATATTTTTACCGTCTGCTGTTCATCTCGATCATCTTTCTTCTCGATTCGCTTGTGCCGCGACCAAGGACCACTAGAATCACATACATCACAAAACAACGCGCCGCATCAAGAGAGAATAACACTGACGAAAATGGAGCGGCACAACACGAGCTTTTAATTGTGGAAGTTGTAAATAAAAAGCTGCATTCGCCCACGCTTGCACAAAGCAAACTCGGGGGAGAAAGAATCCCTCGCAAAGGGGACTCCGGCCGAGGTGAACATGCTTGAACTCGCGCTTTAATCTTGTTGATCGATGTCTCGTTGCGGATGAAGTCGTTTCGCTCGAGGCTTTAGTCAAGGCGGAAACGCAACGATATCTATGCGCGCTTCCTTTCCTCATCCCCGAGCTCAGCTCTCAATTCGTCCGGAGATTCTTGCCGATTAGTAAAGCTTGGCTCGGCCATCCGAGGTGTGATCGAAGAGGAGATGCTTTGTATTCACGCACCCGAGGGAGCATCCGCACCTGTGTACGATCGAGACCGGATCCTTCAAAAGAGACGACAGCGGGAGTCGGACCTTCCTTGAGGAAAGCCTGGCGGTAGCACGTACGGGAAGATCGAAGGGGAGACCCGGCCGATGAGAGGTAGCACGGTGTACGGAGACCTCGGCCAGCATTGCCACCTTGCGGTCTGTCACGAGAAATCGGGTGTATGATGCTCGTGGTACATGGACACTTGGAGCGCAAATCCTTCAGGAGATTCGTTCCATACCAGATTCGGCACTCTGAAACTACTCTCTTTATTCGCTCGCCGCTCTCCCTGGATCAGCTGACACCGGGATCCCCAATTATTACGGCTCTGAGCGGGACCTGCCCACGTTCGGTCGTGTATCAGATGGAAATAATCGAAAGCGGGAATCAGATCGTCCATCGATATCCTAACTATCTTGCTGTGCTTTGGAACGTAATTTTCCTTATGCTCGTGCGACCGAGCAAGGATTCTCAAGAGCGGAGTGGGGATGAAAGCGGAAGATTAACGCAAGTTTTTCCCTCTTTCAATTGGCTTCGATTTTTTTCATTTCTGACCGAGGATCGCTCGGACATTTTCTTCTCTTTAGAATGTTCCTCCTCATTTATCCGTCCGATGGCCTGCTTGGTCTTGAATGTGAATCTGGGTAGTCATCGATTCGCGGATTCGATGTGCGCTTCTCTTCGTAATGGACGAGTTTTCTCGATTCGGCCAGATTGACCGTGCCCGAATCGTTTCACTAGCGTCAAATCAAGATTTGGATGGCTTTCTGCGTCGGCCCTCTAATCCCGATGGCCTTCGATTGAATTTCCATGGAGTCCCACCAAAAATGTTACTTTTCCGGAGCTACAGTGAGAATACTCGACTTCGGTGGAGCGATCTAACTCAGTCACTACTGATGGGAACTACAGCCTCCGGGTAGAGTCGGTCGATGCAGTCTGAAAGGGTTCCCTCGTAGGAGGCGCCAGTGAATCGAACGGAGCATCCCGAATGCGGCTTACACTGAGCTCATTCAGTTTTTACCGTTAGTGATTCGTTTTTTGGGAACGCAAGATCCATATGACTGAGTGAGTGACTCAGATAGACAGGCAGGCATTCATTGTTCCAATGGGCTTTCGGTGCCGTAGTTCCGTGGTTTCCAGAGCCTCTTCTGTGCCGGATGTCCAAACTGCTGTCCGTTGTCGCCGACGGTTGACGCTCTGGCTGACTATGGCCTGGTTTTCACGCGCGGTGGCTCACATGGGTCCCTCTCGGCAGAGTCTCGTCGTCGGTCGGACTAGCGGCGGCGACCGACCGAACAAACGCAGGAACCAAGCGTCCCTCTGACGGAGTTATCAATATGCGGACGCTCGGAATGACCCAATTAATCATCGCGTCGCCTGACGTGGCTGCTCCTCCGAAGAAGGGGAGGCGCGTTTTCGGAGGAGCATTCATTTCTTCCCCAGAGCCACAAGAGAGATATGATTTCGAGAATGGATGATAACATCTGGATCGAGATTTCCATCGACAGGACAGCCGACTTGACGAGTTCGGAACTATTATAATCTATTTCGAGTCGGCATCTCCTCACTGCAAAGACGAATTGCTACAAAATGATGCAAGATTACAGGGACTGGTGCGGTGTAATAATTGTGAGTCGTTGTTTGAAGACCATTAAATTCCGATTTCGGAAATGTAACACTTGTCTAAACGATTTTACCTAGCACGAGTAAGTGCTCAGCGTCTTGAGAAGTTTCTGGTCTGGATGCGGGCGCACACAGCATCTGCCCAGAAATTCCATCTCAGTTTCTTCGTAAACACTTTTGCGGTACAAAATTGTTCACGCTTCGGGAAAGTCGTTCTTCAAACACTGGAACGCCACTTGTTCGGGTAGAATCCTCAGATAATTTATTTGCTCTGAGAGGGGATGCGAAAATGAGAGAATACTACATGGATAAAATCGACTATCTTGGTGGCATTCTTCTATTCCCAATGAAGGTGGCGCAGAGCTCGGCGGTGAGAGCGAAAAAAATCATTCCCTAACAACCCGGGAGTTCGAGAACTTGGAAGAAGGCGGGATCAAGGAGCTACCTCGCTGCGGCGAAGTCCCTAAGCGAAAATTCCCCTCTGTTTCGGGGTAAGTGCACTTCATGATGCAGCAGCATCCCATTGTGGTGAAATGTCGAATATTCTTCGACTTCCGCTCGGGGACAAAGCGCTTCTTCCGCTACAGGTGCCAAAACTCCAGGAGTCCCCTACCAATGCCGAGTTGCTCGAGTTTACGATGGGTTTTTATGAGGTGACCCTTTCTAACCACGGCCGAACACAAGCATTGAAATCCACGTATTTGGAAAATATGTCCGATGCTTGCCCACATTCGACAGATTGAGATGGAGAGTACAAAAATCAAGAGAGAAACATCTGAAGCCAGGGAAAGCGAGCACCGGTAGATCGGCATCTCAAGCGCGGGGCGGCGAAAAGCGACGGACCTCGGTACTTGTCAATATCAGCTGCTCTTGATTCCTAGCATGAATTGTAATAATGATACGTCTGCGTCCGATTTTTCCCTCCATCCACGCTAAAGTATGTAGCAACAGCGCTGTCTGATATTCAGTGCGTCGAAGGTAGTTATCGGGGAAATACCAAACACAGCTCGCAAACGATTCGACGATGGTGTCATAATAAAGATTCTCCGCTGTTGTCGATTGCGAGCGTGCCTCACTACCGCCACGAGTTAATGGGGAGACCTGGATCCGCGCCTCGACGAATATGCGACCGATTCGTGATCGAATTTCGTGCGAGGAACGACAATCATATCCGTCAGCTTTAGGGAAAATCATTCGACGGTCTTATTCGACAGCATGTGCCGGCAGAGATAAGCGGAGGAGTTTTTGCAAGCGTCCATGTAAACAAACAATCTGCTGATCTTTTTCCTCGCAATATCTCAGAGAAGCTCCAGCGAGTCAAGCGATTTACGATCGGTGAGCGAAGCCGATCAACAGACATTCGTGAAATGAATAGTCTGCTAGGTCGGTCGACGCTCGTCCTAGTTCTGAAAGCAAATATATCGTTCCACTCCGCCAGTACATACCAGTACAGTGTACCCCCTTGAACTATACGATAAGAAAATGCTCACGTCGAGCAGATTTCTAGCGGATTCACGATTCTTGGCTCCTCGTGGGCACCTGAGTGGGGCGACGACCTCGTGGAAGTACCCGTACGAGCATTCTCAATACAAGTGAATCCCATGAGTCTCTTGCTGTCACGTTCGATTCCATCCTCGAGCCGAGATTAGCATACGCGCTTGTCAATCGGCCTGGCTCCGTGTGACTCCGTGGAAAGCAAGACTCGTTCTCAGCGATTTTCCATGCCTATTCGGCGGAATCCGGTTTTGCATGAACTTGCGAATAACTGGTTCTGCCAACGACTTCCTCCTCAGGAATTCACCCTTAGTCCTCTTGGTCTTTTTTCCTTCTCGTTTTCCAACTTCGGGTCGTAAAGATGAGATGAGAAGTGTTTCGATAAGCAACCAGCAATTCTATCTCTCAGTCCCGGAGCGTGGAGATCTCTTTAAATCAAGGGGAGTGCCGATGGTGCGCCGGATGTTCTGCTCTGAGGCATTTGGAATAGTAATTGATCGGACTGGATGGCGAGCTCAAGAGAAGGTCATTCACGCCTATTCTGGAGATATCGTCCGCCTACGGGCCTTTTCGCTGATCTCGTCGGAAGCCGACATCACAGGTCATGAAGGCAGACAAGCCGATGCAAGGTGTGAGGCGGGGAGCAGACGGGAGAGACGGGCGGTCGAATTCTCGTCTACCTTCTCGCAAAGCCTAACTTAAATCATCCTCGCGCAAAATCAGCTGACTCCAAGTCGCCATGCGATTGTCGCTCTAAAGTCTGAACCGACTATCCGAGTAGACTGCAAAGGCTCGCCGCGGCCTGTATCTAAGCCCGCTCCGATTCCATTCGTATATTCTTGTTGTCTCTGTAGCTGTCAAGCTTTTCGTGTTCGGCTCATGAATCCGAAGCATTATGACGACGCTGCTCAGTTGTCAACAACATAATACTAGTCGCAGCCGCGCAGCAACCGCAGAGCAAGAAATGCATCGAATTCTTCTCTGTCTTCGGCGCGCAAACAACATGGAGCGGAGCGGACAGAATTCGTTCGGTTTGTTCCTCCGGCCTGCTCTGAAGGAGCAAAACAGGTCACATGATCACCGCAATTTGACTCAAGTAGCTTTTTTTGTCAAACGCCAAAAAATGTTGTCTGCCGTTGGTTCCACTTTGGTGAACTTGCCAGGTTCCGTTCGCGGCCACAACAAGCTGGGGAAGCCGCAACCACCACTCAACATGCTCTAGCCGTGGCGTTGGTGGTGGCTCCGCTTGTTGCGCCTCTATGCACCCAGCGGGCTGCGCCTAGCATAGAAATCGAGACTACTATCCTGCGCCGAGGATTTCGAGGTCCCCACTGACCGAATCGAAATGAATATACTTCGGAGCCGATAGGGCTGTACCCTCGATATTTTCCGCGTGCTCGTCCCCATCGTTTGCCTCTGTCACGATGACTCCGTTCTTGACAGCAGTTCTTCCCCCGATGTTTACCTAGTTGGGACTTTTATGAGCATATGACCCCTCCTGGCTTCATACGACGGTCCCGGCCATTCGACAGCATCCATCCGAAAGAGCATTCGAGCTAGAATACAGCTTTAAATTCGAGAGGAGGAGTTTGTCTCAATGAGACTACTCGTTCAGTTGTTCCAACGAGCTCAATAGGAACCTGTTCGAATCTATTTCACCTGAGAATGCATCTCATAGTAATAATAGCACCCGATGATCCCTCGCGGATGGTGGGTATGCTGTGGATCACATGAGTGGAAAGAGAAATCCACCGAGTCAGACGCAGTCTAGGCATGAAATCCGTCGCGTTCTGCAGGCCAAATGCTTCTCCTTCTCGTGACGCTGATTTTCCTCATCCATCCCATACAACGTTTAGCTCGATTCGCATAGCTGGATATCTATAAGAAACGTACCGTAAGATGAGGATGTCAGAATTGGAAAATGGTTTCGCCCCTACGGAAAAAATCGAGCTGTTCCGCAGTGCTTTTCCAGTGATTTCTTGCCGACTATATATGAATACATGTAACACGCGAAGGTCATTCGGAGGCATCAATTATTTTTTCCGAAATGCTCACCAAGCGGGCCACTCAATGCAGAGCGCTCACGTAACCCGCGAACCTTCAACCGTAGCGGCGATCCCCGCCGCTAGCCATGCAGCGCGTCAGCATTGATGATTAGGAGTGGAGGTGACAAGCGTTCTTTAGATCGCCATATTTAGATGAGCAAGTCACCCCCTTTGATGATGGTGGGAGACTTCTGGAAGAATGCAGAGTCAATGGTCGGACATATCCGTTACAGTTCTCTCGTGATCCGCTCATGGCGATTACCTGAAGCTCTTGTGGTCTGTTCGGGAACAATGAGGGAAGCGCCTCTGTCTAGCCAAGTTCGTGATCGTTTCGACTGGGAACCGAGAGCCACAAATGGGCCAGGGATGGTTTCTGTGGTTTTCGTTTTGAGACCTGATTGAAAAAATCAGGCACGCAGCCCAACACGCGGAAGGGAAGGCCCGGGTACGGCAGAGCCGCTCCGACATCGAGCTATTCGGGTCTTGCTTGGCACGGCATAAAGAGATGAAATTCCGCCCCTGCCTTCGGAAAGGCTTGGGCTTGATTCGGGCATGATTGTTCGGGCACTACTTCGTAGAATCAGAGAATCCCGGGAAGTAGGTGTCCTTGGGCTTATTCTCTGGTCCTCGGTCGGCACTCTGAGGTCGATTCAGCTTGTTCTGGAAATTTATCACACTAAAAGTAGGCGAGAAATGCATCTAGACATCGTTTCCTGATTTGGAGCCCTTCTTAAGAGGATTAGCTCGATCTAGACAAGGAGGACTCTGTATGGGGGAGAGGGCACAATTCGTTGCCTGAAAGGTCCTGGAGTCGATATGTTGACGGATGTCTATCTTGGCCGTTCGCGTATTCGTAGGAACAGTTTCTCAAATTACAGTTGCTTGTATCGCTGGGGAGCCGATGACGGGGACTGAGAAGCTGAACGAACCAGAACGCCGAAATGACTCCTCTGAAATCCGAACTTTCACAATATATGATGGGCAGCTCCCGGCGCTAAGATCGTTACATTTGAAGACTATCGTAGGTGAAGTTTGTTTCGGGTTGCGCGCTTCCCGTCGCATTAAGGGATCATCACGCCGCAATTACGGGGATCATTTGTCTGGTTACCCATCAATAGACTTAGTCCTGCCAATGGCCTAGCATACAACCAGTTCTTCTGTATAATTGTTAGAGCGTTCACTTCGGACAATAGAGGCGACGGCTCTTATCCGCCCCCATTCCGGTGCGCCACTTCAGTGTTCCCGCAACGAACAAGTGCGTATGAAATTGACGCGTGCCCAGTCGACGCCGATTCGAGCGAAGGACGAGCTGTCATTCATATCTCGCTAACGTTTTTATTGGGAAACATGCGCGATCCACGGTCGTCGCATTCGTGCTCCGCATATTCGATATTGCGAACTCTAGTGAAGTACACTTGGCGGAAATTCGAAGCCATTGACTGAGCCATTCCCTCGGTTGACGAGCTATCTTTTTGCTTAGCCCCCTTTTGACTTCCCGCGCACGCCTACGCCGCCGCCGCGGCGTCAGGGACTGCTTGAGAAAGGAGTTGCAGCGAATCCAAATAAGTGATAGACAAGAAACGCATTTTGGTGTTTTCGAGCTTTTGATGCGCCATGATGACTGCTCTTACTGATGCTCGTTTCGGATTCCGTCGACTCGCGTTTCGGATTGTCTAGGATAGCTCCTTTCTTGCGGATGCGAAGGCCACAACGAGTCTCTTGTTGGCCAGGCTAATATCAGTGAAGTATCGGAGATCTAACTTCGGATCAAGTCTTCTCCTTTTGTGCCCAGGAATGGGGCATTCTCCTCCGGACCGGGAAGTTCTCGAGCCACACGCGAGTCGATCCAGGAACACCACTCGTTCTAGGTCTGACCTTTTCGCTAGAGAGGTTTTCATTCGGTTATCGTCAAAAAGCGGTCGATAAATGAGGACCCTGGAAAACCAGGTAGTTCACGAATCACTAACAGATTGGCATTGACCCTATTGACGTCGCCTCGTGTCATGCTGGAGATTCTCGGTCCGAATCAGCCGCCGGGCGTCACCCACGGGAACCCGGGAAAATTCGGGAATTCAAAAAAAATCGGGAGTTCTCGACTCGGGAGAACTCGACTTAGGAATATAGCTATTTATGGTAGTCTCTCTCTTCGTTTCAGGATCATGAACAGGCCACCGGATATAATTGAAGACGGCTTCCCAAGTAAGTGAATTCGCCTCCGGTAGTCGCTTCCTCAACCGCCGTAGCACTCGCTCAGAGCTACGCGCTACCTATGGGCTGACCATGAGCCCCGGAGGATTCCGGCTCCGTGGCGTTTTCTCAAGCGGATCCCGCAAAGTCAGATGTTCATTCATGCTAAAAGGAGATCCCGTTTTTTTCCTTCCACAGAGGGGCCTCGGGACCCGAAGCTACAGACCTTCTATCGCTGTCTCTCTCAGGTTGTAGATATTCTAGCTTTACCTGAGCCCGGAAGCCGTTTTCAGCTTATTCAAGTCGTAGGCGAAGGAACGTATGGCGAGGTTTACGCAGCACGGGATACGGCAACCGGTGAGTCCAAGACTCGATTGAAGCATCGCACCCTGAGAATGTCTCCTCGAATCCTAGATACTCTCACTGATCATACTTCTGATATACCATATCATATATATATCCTCCTAGTAATCATTGCGCTGACGGTCGCCGGAACGGCCGATGTTGGTCTCTCTGATGGCCGGAGATTCTCATCAGCAATCAAGGCCGCCGGGGAAAAAAAACTTGCAGACTTTTTCATTCATCTTGTATGCCATTCGGCGGGAAGGGTGGACGATTCGTGATAGCGCACAGAGGAGGCCAAGGTCGAATGGCTATTCGAACGGATACGGAGGTCATAATTTTGCTCGGGGGGGGAAGCGATCGCAGTGTGAACGAGAAAGCTGACCTCTCTTCCGGATGTTCCGGATCTCTTGCAGGTCGCATGGTGGCCGTAAAGATAATGGAGAATATCTCGGATAATAAAGAGGAGATGGAAGAAGAGTATCGTGTACTGCGTGACCTCGGGAGCCACCCTAATTTGCCAAATTATTACGGAGTATTCTTCAAGCCAGCCAAAAACCGCGAAGACGACCAGGTACGGCGTCGTTCAAGACCGGAGATAGCGATTCTCGTCCAGCCGCAGGAAGTCGGCGGTTATAACAATTTTATACGTGAATTTACAGCACCAGCCCTGGCTGTTAATAACTCCCCCAGGGGAGCTCGAGTTGATATTATGACATAACTCGTTAGTGTAAGCTTCCCGTCGCTGATCCCATTCGGCCAGGTCGCCTCCCAGCTTTCTTTCGCCGGCAACTCGATCGGCGTCGAACTTGGAGCCTACCTGGCGGTCCCGCGTAGGCGCTGATCTCATTGAGAGTTTTCCCTATTGTTCGAATCCGACCTGACACCGAGTTAGCGAGCTGACGGCGAACGTGTCCGATAGCGGTACCAGAGCCCTCATCCGGTTGGCTCGCCAGTTAACTCGTTTATCTCCCCGTCAGGTTTGGTTCGTAATGGAGCTTTGCACCGGAGGCTCCGTTACCGATCTCGTGCAAACTCTCCGACACAGCGGAAAACGTCTTCCCGAAGTCATTATCGCCTATATAATGAAAGAGACCCTCGAAGCGCTCGGCTACCTGCACGCGAATCATTGCATGCATCGCGACATCAAGGGCCACAACATCTTGCTCACGGAAAATGGAGCCGTAAAACTCGTCGATTTCGGTAAGTAATGCTCCTCTGCCCTTGGCCGATGCCTGCGAGAGAATCGTCGCTGAGGGAGGCTGGCTCGGTAGGAAGGTAGAATAACTGGACTCGTGAGGTTTATTTATGAACCCAAGGAAACAGCGACTCCAGCAGGTAGAGAGAAAGAAATGAAGACGACGACCACGAGGGAGGACGAACGAAAGCGTTTATGGCGCTCGCCCGAGTTAATAAGGCCTCCTATCACGAAGCTGATATATTTACAGGCGTGTCGTCCCACCTCAAGGAGACTCTGGCGAGGAGGAATACGTCAGTAGGAACCCCGTATTGGATGGCACCCGAGGTAGTGGCGTGCGAACGCCAAGCCGATTTCTCCTACGACATCCGATGCGACGTTTGGTCTCTAGGAATAACGGCACTTGAGTTGGCGCAAGGAGAGCCCCCGTTGTCGCACCTGCATCCGATGAGAGCGCTCTTCCAGATCCCAAGGTTCTAAGCTTTTCCGAATTCGGGGGTTTTCTACGGTCCGGGCCCACCCATTTTCATTAGTGCTGCCCACATATCATATTCCGCCTTGGAGCGTTCGACTCCGAGAAGAGCCGGAGATCGAGGTCCCGGACAGGACAAATCAGGAATCGCTGTCAAGGATACATCTTGAGAGCCGAGCTACCTCAGCGAATACGGCTCAGGGCCTGCGAATTTCGCCGGCGACCGCTATTAACATTTTTCCCCACGAAGAGCCTGACGCAACTGCCGGCGGAAAGTCGAACAGCAACCCAGACGAGTTTCCGATGCTCACCTGAGTAAATGCTTGATCGTCGGGTCGGCGGAGAGAACGGAAATGAATCTTCGGAAAAGCTTTTCGACTCCTTGCTCACACGGTTCGGGAAAAATGAGCGGAGAGTGATGATGTGAGGAAAATGAATCAAATGGAGACCGGTCAGAGGAGGCCACGCAGTACCCGGATGATTCCTCTGAGCTTATTGGAGGGAGGATCCCTCGCTTATGAGCGCTATTCCGTCAGGTCCCTCACACGGATATCATATTACCTGGATGTAGCTCGAGTCGAGAGCTCTGGAGAATGATCGCTGGGGAACGTTCCAAGGGAGGTCGATCCTCTGGAATCCATCCCTCTCGCCCTTAACTTATCTATTGATCGAAATACCGAAGCGGGTGACCTCGCTGATGATGAAGAACCGGGTTTTGCTGGAGAGGAGACATCGCAATTTGTGGAAGAGAAAGAATGAGATTGGATCGAGGTTGGGAGTGCTGTTGCGATTACGAGAATGAGCATCGAAACAAAGGTGTTCGTCTCCGTTCCTTTCTTCGTGAACTTTGCAACAAAACAGTTTTGTTCGCTCCCCCTCTAGGAACGCGCCGCCCCGTCTGAAGGCCCCGCAAGAGTGGTCGGCAACCTTCAACAGCTTCGTACAAAATTGTCTCGTCAAAAACTTTGAGGAACGTCCTTTCGTGCGGGATCTTCTCTGCCATCCTTTCGTTCGCTTAGAGGATTCCACAATCCGGAAAGTGAGTTTCATGAAATGACCGGAAAAACTTCCGATCCAATACCTCAAGTGAAGCCAAGTGCGGCATTTGCCTCGAATTATGAGGAGCTCCTACATATATTGAAAACTCTGGCGAGAACCTGACGACCCGAGCCTCGAATTCCTCGCCCACAGATCCGCGCGGAAATCATTCGCATGTTGAAGGAACGAAAGCGATGGGGTATCATCAAGCGACCTCCGGAAATCACAACCAAGCACGGCCAATTGAAAACGGATCGCAAGTCGAAGCCCGAGCCTATTCTCGTAGATGACCTCGCCCTCATGGAGGTGCTCTCGGAGGTGAGCTCTCGTCATCAACCGTTCTCCCGACTCAGCCATTCCCTGACATCACTTATTCCATGGGAATCCACGCGAATACACAGCGCAACCAGATCTTGGGAGCGATTCAAAATATCCGAGAGAAGGTTCCGAGCCTGTTACGACCATTTTTCAGGACACCATCCTCGAGCAGCTCAGTAGACGCTACAAGCAGGGTCAGATCTACACCTACATCGGAGACATTTTGCTCGCCCTGAACCCATTCCAGCATCTGAGTATCTACTCGGCGGATGTAAGTATCCTCCGGTCTCCGTTCCGTCGTCTTTCTCTTCCAGAATGCCTCCAGAGAGAAACTTATTATCAGTTCCTCGGCTCCGACGTCTTCCCTGCCTTGCTGATTTTGTTTTTGTCTGCTTTCGTATCCGAATTCGAGAACGATCCCGGACTCCGGTCACTGTGAGGAGCGAATTCAAAACGACACTCCCCCATGTCCCGGTCGACAGCCGCAAGCTCGCCCGGCTGGGGAGTCGAGGCGCGAAAATGAGACCAGTTTTTGAAATAGGGCGAATGCATTATGCAACCCGCGGACGCGCGTTAGGAGCCAAGAACTGCGCTACCGAGCTAAACTTTGAATGTGGTTTTAATGAGCGCAAATGGCGTCTGCTTTTTCCTCTTCCTCCTGCGACTCTCGGCACGCTTACTCCGCAATTTAATAAAACAAGCTTAATCTCCAAAACTTTCTACTAAAGATATTGAGTCGCTCGCTTGACGACCCTCTGCGGCAGTTCTTGACTCGAGAAGGTTTGGATACCGCGTTCGAGTCAGCGAAAACGCCAGGGCTGAGTCGTCAGCGATCTCAGGCAGGCTCGCGGTGTCTTCGAGGAAAAGGACGACGCAAGGCCCGAAAGCCGCAGACATCGATGCTAGACAATTATTGTATCGCTGTTCCGTCGAACGGAATCGATTGGAATTCCCGGTGTGTTTCACGCGCAGTTTTCTCCCGCTCGCCCGCCCGCCTGCCGACCGGCCCGAGGGAAGGTGGCGCTGAGCGGGCTCAGTGGACTAGCGCTTTCTCGATCGGAAACCGATGCACACAGAGATTTCCGAGGCTAACAGTTCTCATCGAGCGTTACCCCGGTTTTGTGATTTCCCCCTCTCCTTCTGCTCCCCCCTTTAAGGCGAAGCCCCGCTAGATAACTCCATCCGTTCTCGAATTCTCCCGTTGAGACTGAACGGGGCTAGTATCGCACGCCGTCACCGCTCCCCGCAGAAAACTGTTCGTCGAGGGTGAATCGAAGTTGGGCTCAATTTGTCGAACAACGTTTTCCGGTAGCTCGTCAGAGTATCCTCCATGACATCCGATATCTTTCTAGGTTTCAGCGCGGTATCGGAACAAAAGCCGCGCGGACAACCCACCCCACATTTTCGCGGTCGGAGACAGCGCGTTCCACGCCATGCTTCACCAGAGGAGGAACCAGGTGAGTTCCACAGACTATTCGCCCCTCTGCATTCGTGTTCTCCATGGATTCTCGTGGGCATGTGAGCGCCCTTCCCCAATCATGAAAATTATCAGTATCCATTAATATCCGTCGCAGGTCATCGTTGTGAGCGGCGAAAGCGGCGCCGGCAAGACGGAAAGTGCCAACTTCCTCCTCAGACAAATGGTTGCATTAGGCAAGGTAAGGCAAGATATACTTCGAGAGATCTTCCGCAGGTGAAAGCGAAGTACCTGATATGTCGGTGCGCGACAAGTCCACAAGCAGTCGAGGCTGGAGGTGCGATGACCGTAGCGTTGAAGAGGAGCGACAGATTGTTACGGAAAGAGCGCCGCGTTCAAGCTCACTGTATGTCAATTAGGAGACTGTGCAAACAGAACAAATAATGGGAACGACAGCGGAGGAGGGCCGTCGCCTCCACAACAAAGCAAAGTCAGGCTCTCAAACGTGGGACTCTCCTAAATTGTATCTCATCAACAATCGAATCTTGCAAGAAACGATCAGCTTGACACCGAAACCGATTGTACGCAAGACGACCGTGACGATTCGTTCACGCTCGCTCTATCGGTCTGAGGGTCTTGAAGCCGCACAGTCAGTCAGTCAGTCAGAAAGTCACTCGGTCGTGTGCCGATCGCTTCGTGCTCGTCCGTACGTCTTTCTGACCGATGGGGCGATACAAGAGGAGCGATGAAGTCTTTGTGCTCTTTTGCAGTACAAAGCACAGGAAATTTGTTCCCGTTGTATCGCTGTTTTCAGGAGATCGCTCCCTTTCTGCCCGTACGCCCTTTCTTTCAAGGCCCCTCCGCGTCTCCGCGATTTCCCAACTCCTGTGACGACGAGGCTTTTCTCTTCGCTCGCTCGCTCACTGGCTCGGCTTGACTGCCTTCAACAAGTTCCGTGCAGAGCGAACAAGAGAAGAAAAAGAGAGAGAGTGGGACACGAAGACTCCGGGGACGCATGCAGAAATTCAGGGACGAATCCGGTGATGCTGCCGTTTCGGGTTATCACCGGTTGGCGCAGCTTCGTCGATGGACCGGAGACGGCTGCCACGCACTTTCTGCGTCACAGTCGGCTCTGCGAGCTCCGTTTAGGTCGCGGAGGTTTTCTGAAGCTCTTTTTCTCCCTCTTATACTCGCCCCCTTCCTCCACACAAAGAGCCACCTGACTACTTTGCGGGTGTCGCTTCGTCCGAAGTTGAAATCGGTCAGAATCGACACGAACGGCGAGAGAGTGGAGCTGTCCCGCGTACGGAGGGAGGGCCGGTTCGGAAGTTTCAAGGGGACAAAGTCCTTCGTAGACCCGTTCGGGAAAGTAGGCGAACAATCGGGTATAGGGACAGACGTACAGCGGGCACAAGGGCGAGCGGCCCCGCCAATGTGCGGGTGGGTCTGCAAATCTATTCCAGACAGTGGAGGGGCGGACGTCGGGACCATTAGAGTACGTTGCTCGGTCGCCGCTCTAATGGTCGAGAACCAAATCAGCTCCACAAGGAGCGGGCCGAATGGAGAGAAGCAGAGAGACGGATACACAATAGACAGTTGGACAAACAGAACGGACTCGGCTGGAGGATTCCGAGGGGAGAGTGAATTTCCTTTTGACCAAACAAATCAGAATTCCCCATTGTTGAACTCTTCCACGAGTTCGCATTCAGTGCCTGTACATACATTCGTTTGTATGTTTGCCTGCAGGTCCACACAATACGAGTCTCAAGTTATCGACGTGTTTCTGGCTTGTGTTTACAGAATGGTGAGAATGCCGGTACTGACGACGAGGATCAATATAGGATGCTTCTATGCACAATTCCAAGGCGCCGAAATCTGGATTCCCAGTTCGTGAAGTGTGGTTTGTCGAGTGGACTCCGGGGAAAATTGATTGCTGGTTCACAGAAGAACGATCCCATTGGGCGGAACGTCTGATCCTCCCAAGAGCTTCACACGACCTGGTGGAGAGGTCGATTTCGGCATGGTCTCCGCGACTTCTAGAATCGCCCGTTTCCTTGCGGAATCATCGCGGAAAACTCGAGCGTTTCTGTCGATTTATGACCAGAGTCTCGACAGTCCCTTTTTTTTAAACCTAAAATCCCGCTAGGTACGTTCTTGCTCTCACAAATAACGGACCTGAGACAGGGGTAGCGAGGTTTATTTCGAATCAAACAGGGGAACAACAATTTTCCGAGGGGCTCTCCCTCCTCAGAGGATAGGAGGCAAGCCGGGAAATCCTCCCGACGTGAAGTCGTCGGGAAAAGGTATGAGCGAAGGAGCGGGCAGACATCTTTCCGGTGGCACCGCAATTAAATAGAGTGTACGGCTCCGCGGCTGTTCCCCTTTACCCTTAGAAGCGGGCATGACTAGCGGCGATTCGGAGAGATCTCGCAGACGCAGTTAATTTGGAGAATTTTCGACGTCGTGCAACCGAAAGGGAAAGGAAAGAGCGCCGCAGAGTCGGAGGCGGACTCTGAACAATGAAACATGGAGATCAGGAGAGACAACATAAAAATTGGAAAATGGAACTCGAAACATTCGACAGAGCTACAGCTAGGGAGGAAGCCTCTTCTTGAAGGAAAAATAACAACCAGACTGACTGAGCGCAGGCCGTTTCTCCTCGAGTCTGCCTTCCCCCATGGTCCCACTCTGAGCAACCTTTCTCGGGACGCTCGACCTATGCGCATCCATGAGGACGTGACATTCCCATTCAAGCCAGCCATCAAGGTGCGAAGATTGAAAAGTGACGGGAATCGAGCTCCGAGCAACAAGCAGAAGAGCAGGTCACGAGGGAGCAGATATGGCTCTTTGAACTTTGGGGTTTCCGAAGGAGCGCTCGCTGCCGATTCTCGGCTCTCCGTCGCCGGGCGGAAAGCTTCAGCCGGAATCTTCTCCGCACCATAATGAGGGAATAGAGGAACGCTGCCTTCTCGGGAACAGGTTCCTGACGCTTCACCTTTCGACCCTAGTCGGGGACTTTCCCTTCCGGCTGCACGGGGCTTCTCGCCTGTGTCGTTTCGCGGGAGAGTCGTCGCATTCTTCCGGGAGAAATGAAGAGAATTCTGGGCCCGGGCTAGGAGTGAATATTTCCCGTCCCTTTCGTATGATCTGACCGAATAAGGATACTTTCAGAGCGGCACTTCGAATCACAGGCTTGAGGAGAAGATTCTCCAGGTGAACCCGATCATGGAAGCGTTCGGTAATGCTCGCACGGGAATCAATCACAACTCTAGTCGTTTCGGCAAGTTTCTGGATCTCAGCTTCTCCTCGGGATCGGGGAGGGTCCTCGGAGCGAAACTCTCGGTTTATCTCTTGGAACAATCACGGGTCGTGCGACAAACCAGGTGAGCGTTTCGCTTTTTTTCGGCTTCCCTGTGAGGTCGATACACACGTATGCGAGTATGAATATGAGGAGCAGCAAGAAAGATGGAGGAGCCAGATTTCTGCATGGGAGAGATTCCCCGGCTACGGTAGCTCGATCCGCGAACCGACTTCCGTGCCCGCGCGGAGACGTCGGCGGAACCGAATAGATGAGTTCTCGATACAATCTCGTCTCGAGTGCACCGAGAGTGACAGGGCCACCTCCAATGACCTCCATCCGCGCTAAACGTACCGAAGCGGATCAAACGCCCAAAATATACCTCAAGCCAATCGGCCCGATCCCAATCGCTGCCTGCGCCCCGTTCCACGAGGCGATGAGTAACTCCGGTGCGAATTTTGAGAGACGCTTGGAGATTGCCTCCAAGAGCAGAGAAGACTTCTCCTCAGGAAGGAATCCAAATCATGTTCCGAACACCGGGGTCGGGGATAACTCATTTCCTCCGCAGAATTTCACTCCCATCGTGAATTGGAACTTTTCCCGGATATCCTGTCTGTACACATGATGCCTCCGAAGCTAACAGAACTTCTCCGCCAGCTCGATATCCGCGCAGGTTGAATGACACATGACCTCTCGTTTTGATCGATGTCGAATCTTTCATTCCTTCCTTTGCATTCCAGCCTCGAACGAAACTTCCACATCTTCTACTACCTGTACGACGGTCTGGCATCGCAGAATCTCTTGGGAGCTTACTACCTTGAACCATGCCCCAAGAAAAGATCCCATCGGTGAGTGAGATGCATCTGGTGTCAGCCGTCGAGCGTTTCGAGTCATGCTTCACGTCTCGAATTTCCCGACTCTTCTTCTCGGAGCGAGAATTTTCCAAGATTACAGTGCGCAGCGGAATCTACGCGTGGGTGGGTGCGTTTGTGTGCGTACAATTCCACGCGGGCTTCCGTAAAATTCCCTACCCCGCGGCACGATCTCGCACGCCTCCCTCCCTCGCTGGCTCAAATAGGCGGAGAAAACGGTCGAGAGCTGGTGCGCAACGTGATTTTTCCCTCGAAATATTAGCTTTCCTCTCAAGTTCTCATTACCTTCCGAAATGTGGCTGTAAATCTCGGACTTCAGCTGGCGGTACGGCCTGCAATTAGATCATGGAAACAGCACGAGCATGTCCGGAATCGAGAGCAGTGAGAGAGTCACGGGGCGCTCGAAACTCAGGGAATTAGGGGGTTCGAGCGGTAAGCGGGACCGGGCTCGCAGTCGGGCTGGAGAGTGACGTCGGTCGAGCCCATGAGTTTGTGAAGCATTTCTTTTTTTCTAAAAGTCGGAGCCGACTAGGAAGTTGCTTCTCTCACTTCTGCGGGATGAGTCGGCAGTTGAGGCCGAGCCGGTAATATCTCCCTCGTGGCTCCGGAACCATCGAAGCTTGATACGTCGGCTAGAGAGTGGCCATTCGTCAAAGATATGCTAACGACATTAACAAATCCGGCGTTCGTCTGCCTGCCTGCCAGCTCGAATGCTGCTTGCTCCACGAACTCCTAACAGGCTCCCGAGAATCGCCCTCATCGTGATGCGGATCGCTCACTAGCAATTATTATACACGAATAACGAGACACAATTATCTCGTTTGCAATAGCTCTCGACGGCAGAACGAGCTGTGAAGGAGGGGAACTGCGAACCGCAGAAACTACGTTCGGAGGGGTAACGATAAGCCGAGCCATAGATCAGCGTGAAGCGAGTCCGCAAACTCCGATAATGCTACTCAAAGCCGAGTGCACGGCGGTTCCGCATCGTTCGCTGATGGCGTTTTATCACACTTCCGAGATATGATGCATCAGAACAAGGTGACGCCGATGACTCCCCAGACTACGGGTTTCTCGCTCATGCTTCCACTCCGATAGAATTGAACGCTTTTTTTGACGGATCTCGTCCCGCGATGCAAGCTTTCTCCGAGGCGTTGTTTTGTCCGAACGGACTTGATCCATGCCGTCTCATCGAGAATCGGCGTCCAAATACTCAATTCAGTCTTCGATTCATATTTCTGTCACCTGTCCGAGCATCTTCTCCCCCGATGCTCTTCTCGATGTCGCCACTGTTGATGGTCGTGATCGTTGCTCGAGCCATCGCTGCTACAAAAAGTCCAAGATTCATCCCTTGATGCCTCGGCGATGCGTTGAGCGTTGCGGTGACGTTTAGATGCCGGCTCAGAGCTCCCATCCCGTTTCCCTGGCTGTGAATGGTTGCTCCGCGGCGACGGATACTCTAATCGCTCCCCAAGGAACGCCTAACGTATCCGAATGCTTTCTTCCCGAGCGTACGGCCGTCGCGAGTCGAGTTTGTCCTGTTGAACTCGTTTTTGGACGTATCTCCTGCGATACGGTATTTGAGCTTCCAAGCAGTATTTTCATCTGAAATTCCTCTCTCCGTCTCTCTGGTCAGGTCGTTCCCATCTGTGGGGACAGCTTCGAAGAAGATTCGGCTGTCGCGTCGGCGATTGTCAAATCGTCAGATCGTAGGTATCTGTAGGGTTCCCGGAAATCAGCGAGTCTGACGCAATTGGGAGACGTAGAAACTTCGGGAAAGCTTCAGTATTCTAAGATCTTTAAGGGGCTTTGGCTCTCTATCCGGATCCGGCGGAGAACCCTCTATCAAGGCAATATCTTCGCGAGCACTCTAAGTTCATGAACACGAACACTATTTGCACAACAAAGGCTATACACGTCGAATGGAAGGTGGCAGCAGCCTCGGCGAAAAACGAGAGAAGAATAAAGCCTCTTGGTCAAAGCCACGGAGCAAAGCGGCAGCGACACGGAGCTTCGGCAGCGACCGCGGTCTGAGCGCCGCTTCTGCGCGAGCGCACGCGGGAAGACGCGGGCGCATGACAAATACACCTGGGGGAGTGATAAAATAGGATGTTATAAGCCAGCAGCAGCAGCCTGAAACGGGAGCTGGACGCCGACGGTGCGTCGTTCTCCCGATGCGCGTCCCCGTTTTTCCTGGCGCGGTCGTCCTTCCCTGCCGGATCTTCTTTGCGTTCTCGCGATTTTGAACCGAGCACTCTCTCCCTCCATCCTCAAGCGCTGCTGCGCGTTGCTCGAGGCGAGAATGGGGAATGGCTGCAAAACAAAAAATTGAGTGTGAGGGAATTCAACAATCCAATTGTTGTGGGAAAGCATTCACGGGACCCCGAACCCGGGAGGGAATCCGCGTCTCCCCAGACTTCCCCAACGTCTGTTCTCGTTCGATGAAGCAGAGAGGATCACTAGATCATGTTATGATAGAGCGGGTCTCGCGAGTGATGTCTCCCTCATCGGAGGTGTAGATTGCTCGCATCGACGCCAGACCGAATCCTCATATTTCCATGCTGTAATCGATGGAGCAATTTCTCGGAAGTCTCGCGTTCCGTATGTGGCCCACGTCGATGTCGACGTCATTCGATAGCGTGCGATCTTTCGAAGCCTGAGACGCACGTTGGGCCGCTATTGGGTCTATCGACGGGCTCAATCAAGATATTTGCATTTATATCATTTGTCCTTTTCTCTGAGAGACTTTCCGTCTTCCAGATACCTCCAAGGCGTAAACCCCCCGGACCGGGAGACTTCGGTTTTGCACGCGCGTCGTCTCATCGCCGTCAAGCAAGGCTTCGAATTGTTAGGCTTCCGAGCGACGGTAGGTCACTATGAGAAGTTTTCCGGGAGAAGCAAGATCGATCGGTATTTCTTCGGTCTCGGAGATGATCATCATCCTCTTGTTTTCTGTCGGCGAGCTTCTGAACGGCTCTGCTGGCAGGGAGCCCCTTCATATAATCTCATCGCACTGGTCATGATCTTCTCACGTTCCCAGGAAATCGACACCATCTATCGGATCCTCGCCGCAATCATTCATCTGGGAGACGTGGAGGTTCGGCCGACAGAAACCTTATTTCAAACATCGGGTTGTGTCATCGTAAACGCGGAGAAGATACCACAAGGCAAGTCTCGGAGACGTGCAGACGAGTCGAAATTCCCTCAGGTTGTGATTTTTCTTGGCACCGTGGGATTCCAGTCGAGCGGCACGGTACTTGACGAGTGCTTGGTCGTCGTGATACCTTCTTTTAATCGTGGGTCGAATCGACCTCGTCCGAGGGTGCCCGAGTATCTGATAGAGATCCTGCCGGAAACCGCTGCGGAGACCTTAGCCCTAGTGCAGGGGTGTCAAAGACGTGGCCCGCGGGCCACTATTGGCCCACGGAGAGTTTTTTCGTGGCCCGCGGCATACCCTCGGGAATTCCATAGGATAATATCCCTTGTAATTTTCGAATCGCGAATAGCACGAGTCGACTCTGAAAAATCGAGAATCGATTGTGACCCATCATGCATATACATATGTGTTTCCCTCCAGCTTTCCGCTCTCCGCTCAAACAACGTGAATTAAGAATAATGTCGAAAAAATCTTTGGATGTGGCCCGCCGGCTTCTCCCAGTGCTCCTTCGTGGCCCGCGGAAGATTTGACTTTGACACCCCTGCCCTAGTGGATTAGACACCAATAGGAGCAGCCTAGGGAGCTCTCTTCGGGCTGCTTGAAGTCGAGAGCCTGCCTCGCAGGAGCCTGCTCGCAACCTCAAGCCGAGAGGAGCGATTCTTCCGAAGAACTCGCCCCTTTCGGAAACTCCTCTCGCAGAATTCCTCGTTCATTTCCGAGGTCGTCCCATGAAATCTCCCCCGAAAACGCTTTCAGCTCGGCTGAGCTCCGTTCAGACAGGACCCAAGACCGCTCGCTTGTCGAGTGAGGCTGCTCCGTGAATCCACATCGAGACGCCTCTACTAGACCTTCATTCATGGAATCGTTCAAGGGGGTTCTTCGATATGAGAATTCGTTCTCTCCCCAATGCGAGTCGCTTCGACACTCTCAGAACACCCCAGTGAGGAGAGCACTCGCGCACCGCAGAGCACTAAGGGAGGAGTTGTTCTCAGCTTGTTCCTCAACTTCCTTCCGTCCATCCTTCCGTACGTCCTTCTGCTTTGTATTCTGACAGCTTCTTCGGTTGGTGTGAGCCGGACATATTGCTTTCGACACCCTTTGGACTGTCCGGCAATGGGAAACTGACGTTTAGCTATTCTTTTGATGCTCAACATGTTATCGAAATTCGTCTCGTGCATCCGATTTTCGCTCCTGGAACTATAGTATGTGTACGTAGGTATACCCGAGGCCCCCTGTTCCTCCAGCATTCTTTCCCGACGACACGCGGCGCATCGGCACTGCATTTGAGGAACGACGTCGGCGTCGTAGCGGCGCCCGCAAAGAACGCGGCTCAGTTCCGGAACATTGAAGCCTGGTCGACGAGCGCTAGGATTCGGAAAATCGACATTTCACAACGATTCTTGTTTTTGTTGTGAGAGCGGACAAACTCCTCGAAGTCGTCCCGTCATCGAATTGAATACAAGGACGGACCTGTTTGTCGAAGAGCTCGGCTCTTCACAAGAGGCTGAGCCGGCGTGGCGAAGTGCGCGATGGACACGAGTGCTCTGGTTCTTCAGAGAGCGCTAGCGATTTCTGTGTTTGCGTCGACCACTATAGAGGCGACCTGGGGAGTTTGAAGTCTCCACGGAAAAGTCGTCGACGTAGCAGAAGCAAGAGAATCCGCGAACGTCTCTGATGATATTGTACATGGGCCATGCTTGTCGGCGAGCGAGAAGTCTCGGTTAGCATTCCTCCTCCAGCGCTGGAATCTCGAATGTCAACGGCCACCAAAGAAACGCGTGCTCACCCACCCATTCGCTTCCACCTCCGGACTCGCGACTGCGAGCGGCTCGCTGGCGTTTGGGAAGGCAAGCGAGCAGGCGAGCAAACTCGGAAAGTGAGGCAAGCAGGACGGGCGCTGGAGCGAGGGCAACTTGTTCTTTGTGGCAACTTGGCGGTCCTTTCCGTCGTCGGCAACTGTGTCTCTCTGCCGACAACTATAAAGACCGCCGATCGAGTCGTTTGTTGCGTGAATTCCTGAAAACTTCCTCGTACCTCCGCAGCCTTCCGTTGCTATTTACGCTCTCGTGGCCATCGTAATCCCGTGCCGCGTCGTTTTCGTCCCGCCGTCATCGTAGCGAGTTTCCTCTCCGGATCCCTTACGGGAGTTAGCGTCTCATCAAATCAGAGCTCCCAAACGGCCCGTTCGCCGTTCGTGTCTGCCCTTTTCTGCCGTATCTTATTTCCTTGCTTTCAATGGTGTACGGGCAATGGCTGCAATAACCACCGACCGTCTACGCGGAAGGCTGAGAGAGCCGATAAAATCTTGCACTGCGAGAATATCCCGCTCGAAATCATCTCGATGTCGGAGTTGGCGGAAAATTGAAGCACCTCCCAGCCCGAGGCTCGAAAGTCGAAGAGCATGAATACCTACCGCATTCGACCGTCTGTGTCTCTTTCGCTCGTTTCCCGATTGAGTAATTTGTCTATTGCCGGATACTCGCGCTTTAGGGGATCCGAGCGGGCTCGCGGCATTCCAAACTGTTCCGGAAAGTATGCGGTAAGGGGGATTATGAGATGAGGTGCCGCCGCTCTGAAACTTCGTCTAATAAAATCGTCAAAACTTTCCAGTGGCGAAACTACTTGGCTTGAATCCGGATGACCTCCTGGAGGCCTTGAGCACCTGCTCGATAAGCATGCGGGGTGAAGTAATTGTCAGACCGAGTACGGCGCAGGAAGCGGAAACTGCGAGGGACGCAATGGCCAAAGCACTGTTCGGTCGTCTGTTCGACTGGATCGTCAACCAAATCAACCGTCATCTCGGCTGCAAAACTAGACCCGACAATCAGTACGTAAGGCCGAATAAGTGACAATTCCCATTGTTTCCTGTGCATTGTCGGAGTCGGAGTTGATCATCGGGCTCCGCGCCGGATCCAATGAATCGGGGGAAAACTCTACAACCTCCCGGAGTTCGGTCGTGATTCAGATCTGGATCATGGTCGACGAATATTCTGCATCGATCGATATATTGAAATGCGAAGCTCTCTGAGAGTGCTCTCGAGTGCTTTCGGATGCGCTGCGTGTAGAGAGTTCCTCCTCCTCATACTCTCTTCGCCTTCGCAGCGCCGAGAGGTCGATAGCCCTGCTCGACATTTTCGGATACGAGGACTTCGAGAAGAATTCGTTCGAACAATTGTGCATCAATATAGCTAACGAGCAAATGCAGTATTACTTCAACAAACACGTATTCGCTTTGGAACAGGTGAGTTGGATCTGGAATCGACATCATTATCTTGTTTGGAACATTGCAAACACAAGAAGTCAAAGTACTCGAACGAACGCTATGACATCGATCTCAGTGCGCAATCTCACGAATTCTCATTTGATTTCTCCGATCTTACTATCTCAGCAAGAATATGCGAATGAGGGGCTCGATATGAACCAGGTTGTCTTCAACGACAATCGCCCGGTCCTCGACATGTTCCTCAGCAGACCTATGGGACTGTTGGCCCTGCTGGACGAGGAGTCTACGTTTCCCAAGTCGACAGATCAGAGCCTTGTTGGTGAGTGCCTTTCCAGACCCACGAACAATTTCGACTGTGCTTCCGGGTTAGTCGCTAGTAGAGAATTTATTCGAATCAGCGTGGTCCTATTGCTTGGTGCCTGAAAATATGCTGGATCTCTATGGAGGACTGTCTTGCTGGCAACGGGAGAAAAGCCGGAATTCGGCGACGCCCTCGGGATGGAAACACGTGTAGCGCGTAAATAAGGCATCGGGTAGACGCGAAGGATGGAGACTCTCAGGAAAGGACAACTTTGATATTGTCCCGGGAGATTCTTAGTAGTTCGAGAGGTTTGCGTGAAACGTGTTTAGTGGACGCTTCTCGGTCTCGAGTTCGGCGAGTTTCTTCTCTCGCTGGAATTTCTCTATTTCAGCGTGCATCGCGCCTTGTCGAATTCTTCTTGAACTCTACAATGGCGTGTTGCACCCTGTAGTTTCGTCGCGGCCAATATCTGTTTTCATTTTTCCTTCCCCGCTGGTCACTCCCTTATTGGGGGCAGAGCACTACACCGAGGAAGACCGTTCCGGGAAGCCGCTCAGCGGTCTCCCGGCCGTCTGTCGGCGATCTGCTTCCGCTCCTTGAGAACTTCCGTTTTCCCCAGAAGCCTCGCGTATCTCTCGACGGCTTCAATACTGTTTTTCCCCGCATGAATCCCTTTGATATGGACCCCATTGATTTTGAGACGGTCATTTCTCCAATGGCGTACTTACTTGCTTAGAGGCCCTTCCGAAGCTTCTCGGAGGCCATGATGCCGCGAGGGAGCTCGCGCGAGTTGACGCTTGATAGGGGCCGCGGCCCCGAAAAATATCTCGTCATGTTAGGAATCTTCAGGTTCTCATCCGTATGCTCAGCTCGATAGCTCACTAATAACCGAGAACTTTCCAGATAAATTCCACACCAACATAAAGTCTGCGCATTACGTGCGGCCGAAGTCGAATGCTCTCCAGTTTACTGTGATCCATTACGCGGGTCTGGTCACATACGATGCTCGAGGGTTCCTTGAGAAAAATCGGAACCACTTGCCGACCTGTATAATCCAACTGCTCAATAGGTAAGCAGCACTTCCTATGGAAAATAGCCTCGGGACGAATTTCCACTCTCCCGCTTAAGCACAAATCAGCTAAAGGTTTCTTCCCCTCCCACAGATCTACGCTTTCGGTCCTTAGTGCGCTGTTCCCCGCTTCCACGACTTTTGTTAACACTCCAATCAACGTTGGCGATCCTAAGGTACGAAGAGACTCCACTGTCTCTGCCCGAGTCTGTGTTTGTCCCCAATAAATACTTTCCAGAGCCAAGTACCGCGGAGGTTTCGAGATAGAAGTTTTCTCAACTACAGAGCCGCTCTCTCGATGTGGCCAACGACCTAATATATCCTCCTTTGCAGCAATCCAGAGCTATCCAGACGATGGGCTCATACTTCCGATACTCTCTGATGGACCTCCTCCAGAAAATGATTTCGGGCACTCCGCACTTCGTTCGCTGTATCAAGCCGAACGACCAGCGCGCGCCGACTCATCTCCAAAAAGAGAAAGTTTTAAATCAGTTGAGATACACCGGAGTCCTTGAAACGATCCGGATCAGACAACAGGGTTATTCGCACCGACTGACATTCTTGGATTTCCTCAAAAGGTCAGTGCCCAGCCGGGAATCAGTCGTTAATCCACTTCAGGAGCACTCCGCGCTGCAGCAGAGCTGGCTCGCTCTAGACAGCTTATTCGAGCAACCGTCCGCGGACTTTGCTCCCGAAGTAGCTAGTTCACCAAATGGCTAACCGCATTCGCCTTCAAAGTGTTCCTCTGAAATGATTGCTGCCGTGAATCAATCCATTCCCCGCCTCAGGAACGATGTTTCCGCAAGGGAACTACCGAAGTTCCTAGTATTCTGCGAGCTCAGAACTCCGCGATGTCGAAGTCGCAAAGAGTATCCATTGATATATGCATTCCAAAGGGATGAGGGCGTGAACCAGGCAGAGTTCTAGACGAGATGCCGCGGGCCAGAGAGATGAGGACTCAGTCCCCATGTTTGCGATAGGTGACTTCTCGACTTCGCGACGAGCAATCAATCGTTGTGTTCGGTCCTTTGTTGCGTCGTCGGTCGACGCAGTACCGGAAAGCGTCATTGTCGAAGCAGATTCCTTGCTCCGATAGAGATCAATGGATGATAAGAGTTCTCGCAGGATGAAGATCCGTCGTCGATTCGGATTCCGAGTGCCGGAGGAACTTTCACCGTTCTGATGCAGATTGGACGGAAGGAATTCGGGGAAAAAGCGAACGCGCAAACTATCGTGCGAGGGTAATCTGCTCGGCGTACATAGGGAGGCGTTAACCTACCACACAGATTTGTATTGAAAAGCGAAGCCCTTGCTCTTCTTCTCCCGTGCTTTGTGGATGTCAGACAGGAGTGGCTTTCCGCCGGAGCGGTTTCGCTCGAGCTCCGATTCAATTCGAACCTCGTCGAATAATAACAGGACTCGAATGCATGCGCGACCGCTCTGTGCAAAGAGGCTCACGTCTCGAAGCGTCCATCAGACAGCCTACGATCCTGCGACAAGCCCAGAATGGAATAAAGTAATTTTTTTCCTCCAAAAAAAACGTGATCCGACCCTCGGAGCTGGATATTGCGATTGCAGCTGATGCTCGTTGCGCGCACCGCAAGACAATCACATCTCGCAGAATGGATCACCCACGCACTCGCGAGAAGTTCAATCCGGCGACGCACTGCCTTCAGATGTGTGCTGTTGTGTGAGCTTCTCCCCCGGCAGGCAACAGACGTTCCTCGTAACTTTCTTGATCCTGGGCGTCCGCCCCGGCTTGTCGTGCGAGCGGAATCGCTGTGTTGCTCTTCCGTGCTTTGCATACCGGAGAAAATGGAATCTTAGCGATTTTACTTTCCCCCCGATCCAGACTGGTTGGAGACGTTCTCGCGCAGTTTGCGAGCTTTCAGTTGTTCGTCCCGGAGCTGCATTCATCAGGTTGGATGTGACTCGCCAAACCGAATGCCTGCAGAGCCACGTTCCGACAATTAGAGGATATCGATTGGAGCATATCTTGATTTGTGGTGTTGATCCAGACTCGTATAATGCTTCGATATTCGAATTACAGGTACTGCTTCCTCGGATTCAGTTTCAACGCTCGAGTGAATCCCACTCGGGAGAACTGTGAATTGCTCTTGAAGAGGCTGCGTATCGAAGATTATGCCATGGGGAGATCCAAGGTAAGAAGCCTGGCGAGAATCGCAAGCGCCCTCGATCCCGCATCGGTTTCGAGTCGGCCTCTCAAAATATTTGCTGAGGAACTGTGTTCGTGTCATCAACAGGTATTCCTCAAGTATTATCATGTCGAGTATCTCAGCCGGCAATACGAAGCCCAAGTGAATAAGATAGTTCGAGTCCAGGCCCTGTGCAGGAGATGGTTAGCTGTGCGAGCCATGCGACGGCTGCGTGAGAAACTCAACTCCAAAGTTCAAGTCATGCATCCCTGTGAGTATGCTGATAACCTATCCTCAAGACTAATACTATCTCATCCGACAGCATACCAATTATTTTCTCAAGGGAGCAGAATCAAGAGATCCCTGGAGCATGATCGCTAGGGTAGGCGTACAGGAGGGGAATATTCCTCGGAACGGCTCATCCAGCTGCACAGAGCCATAGAATAACTGCTGCAAGCTTGTCTGGAAACTGCGCCAAGAATTCCCCTCGAGCTCTGAGGACAACTACTGTCGGTTCACGTCATGGATTCATCCAGCCCTCGTATTTTTCCATTCCCAGGTAGCACGGAGGATCTGCGACGGGCTGTCGCGAAAAAAGCGACCCCCTGCACGGGTCAATGCAAGATCGCCGATTGCAAAAACAAGGTATGTGGGAGCGATGGATATGATTCTTCGCTGTGGAACGGAACACGCTCCTGCGCTCGGGAAAGGGAACCACTGGGAAGAGGTCCATGCTCCCACAGATACGAGCAGATCGAATTACAACGCGAATGTGTTTTTATTGGTCGACTCATCTTCTCTCCTGATGCCCCCCCCCCATATTGTCTCGCCTTTGACCGAAAGCCGCCCAGCGGCGCACAGAGCTGGATTCGTGAGATAACAGCTCAATATGGCAAGCTGAAGCGAGCGCGACAGACAGCGGTTCTGGGAGAACCAGGCCCTGTGTCCCGAGTCTCTGACCAACGTAAGGATAGCTGCCCCAGTCATCGGTGCCCAGATAGCGGCGTGATTCGGGTTAGAGAAGTTTTATGCATCGATAGGTTGGCCAGAGGTACCCTCTTCGGGAGTTTTTCAATCGCCTCGAAGCAGACTCACGGACCTTGACTTGGGAATCGACGCTTTTTCGCGTTCTCTTGTTCCTCCCGCCGGCTCGCCCCCGGGACCCGAGCGGAAGCCAGGCCGATCATAGGGGATCATAAGTCTCTCAACCTTTGGCTCGACATAACAGCGGAACGACATTGTATAGATGTATGTACATATGAGTGAGTGAGTGAGCGAGTGTGCGTATATTTCAAGTCGAGAGGAGTAAAGAGCTAAAAACACCGGAAGAAGAGTGCAGCTGCCAGCAGACAGGCCGGCTGGCGGGCGGGCGCGTAAGAAGCAGCCAGCAGCAGGTGTTGACCTTATTATCTCTTTTCAATGTCCTCGTTGACACTTATTGGCTATCCCGGTCCGGGGAAGGGTACGCCAACTGATCGCAAGTTCTGTTTCTCCTCTCGCAGTGTTCTTCTTCGTACCAGGTTTCCGCTGCTCCCACGAGGGGAACGCCTCTCCAAGCACTCGCGCTCGGAGCAGACAATATTGTAAGTACAGCTATCTCGAGCTATAGGTCAGCACTGCAAATGGATCGCAACTGCGTCTAAAGTTTTGTTCGATTCGAAGCAGTGATACACTCCAAAAAAACTGTAGCGCTATCCGCTTTCATGAACGCCAGTCAAGGTGCAGCAGCATAGGTATCACCTATTCGTTATCAGCACGGCGTTGTCCATCCTCTCCAAATCTACCCAAAGACTCTGTACTCCCAATCAGCTGATCGATATTTGCGAGATAATCAGCAGAATCCAGGGTCCTTGTCGGGCCGAGGACGACTCGCTTGGAGTTTGATGATTTGACCGAAAGCAAACTGACCCGCTTTCCATCCGAACCGGAAATCTCGCTCGATCTTCTCGAATATTTCATGCACAGCAATGTCCCGAGGACGTAGACATTTGTGCCACCGTATTGAAAACGGTAAAACGCTCGTGCACGAGCAGTGCATTATTCGCTAGGTACAGCTCCAAGAACAGCAAGTGTAGCAACATTCTTGACTTGCACCGGCAGCAAGCTTCCGCCGTCGATATGAATAAGCCGGCGTTCTGTGCGATTCCATTCGTAGTTCTTTCCTTTTCGTTCCGCGGCTGCTTCGAGCAGACAATCGCCGATTTGTGAGTGAAAGCTTGTGGGGTACGACTAGACTTCCATTTTCCCGGGAAAGGGTCACGGTTCTCCCGCGCTCTGCCCTGAGCAACTCATGTCGCCATCTTCGCTTGTTCCCTTGCCAGTTCAGCAACTTTTCTGGCGAGCAGAATATCTGCCTACCGAACGTGATTCAAGAACCTATAGCCTAATGCGGAGGCTGGGCATCATAATGGCATCGAGTGGCATTTGGAGCTTCCCGAGATCGTCGAAGCATGATTTGCACGTCGATGGCCGACCCCCCCCCCCTCCGCTCATCCCACCGGAGCCTCCGGAGATCGGCCGGCCCCTCTAATCAGGACGAATATTCTAGCCCAGACAAAGTTTCATCCCACCACCGCCACCGCCGGTGCTGCCCACCAAAGTCGCTCCACTGCCAGCCCAAGCTCCTCAATCTCATCAGCGTCCGAGCAAAGACAACATAGTCAGCGACAACAACCATAAAAACAGAATTCACAATAAGATTATCTCCCACGACAACAACAGCAACCTCAACCACAACCACGGTACGCGTTTCCGATCCGATCGAAGAAAATTTCGGCGAGCTACGATCTCCAATCTTAGTGAGAAGTTCCTGCTAACAGAAGATGAAAACAGTTACAGCGGAGATAGGCCGCCCGAACTCGTCCGGCAGTTCGTCGGGCGGAAGGCCGTCCATTCTCGAAATGGAATCATGGTGGGAGAAGAGATCTCAACGAAGCACGTAAGTTTCGATGGCTCCAATTGCGTTTTTCCATGCTCTTGCCCCGCCGAGTCGTGAGTTCTCGGAGGATTTTCCCCGATTCTGCAGGTTCTTTCCGAGCACCTTGCCCCACCGCGGATCTAGTACCGCAAAGGGAAAATGACGATGTCGAAGCTCCCTGAGAATCTCGAGTTTCTTACGGAGCCTTCCCGGCTGCATTTCGAGTCCGGTCGGGGAACATGCTCTACCGCTCTTGTTATGCTGAAAAGCGTATAATCCGCGACACCGTGAGCAGCTTGGCCACGACGCAATGACTTTATAGGAGCTCTGAGCGTTATCGTCTGGGGGGAAAAGAGTTTCCCACTCTCCAGGCCCTGTTCCCTTCCCCGGTTGTGAGGTCAATGGACGCGGACGCCAGAGAATTTGAAAGTTGCGCCCATCTGCGAGCAGTCCTTGAGTTCAGAAATTGGCCCCATCGAATATCTGTCCTCTGAATCGCCTCCAGAGTCTGACGTCATTCTTGAGGCCCCAAGAGCGGGGGCATCGGGGGAAAATTGCTTTCTCTCTCCGGTATCAGTCCGGGCTATGTTTCGAGCGCTTCCGGTGTCGAGGATAATAACGCGCGCCCCGAAGGGCTCGGAAATCCCGTCGGGGTAGTTGTGGAATGAGTCACTGCGCGAATGCTGGGATAGATTTCTCAGGTTAATGCCGACCAACCCTAGACGTCCAACCGCGCCCCATAGGCGTGGGGTATCTTGTGCTTAGGTCAGAGAGATACACAGGGAATCCGGCGGAACTTTTTCAGAAACCAACTAGATTCCCTCTTCAGTGGGACGACAGGCCCGGTTCTGATATCGGATTGTCTTCTTCTGACGACGTTCCGAGCTGCTGCTTTAAAGGTCTTTGTTTCTAACTCTAGGCCGAGTCCTGGGAGCACCGAGCCGAATTCGTTAGATCCCGCCGACGATCCGAATCAAGGTCCGTTCCAATTTAAGAAGATCCTCAAGTCTCACAGTCACAACCACTCGAATTCATCGTCACCGTTGAACTCGACGACAAAGACCCAAGATTCGGGCGTGTTCGACTTTCGAAAAGTTCTTCGGAAGACGAGAATAGCGCCAACCGAGACTCTTCGAAGGTGCAAGGGACTCGTTCCGCTGACGGAAAACGACGCCAAGATAATTTCGTTCCTACAGATTGAGTGATGCATAAAATGCACGCGCCACCCCAAAGCCATATACATACATCTAGACGCCCTGGCTCCCACGTGAGCTGCGGCGTGGATGACGTAGAGGGGGTGCATCCTGCCAAGCTTGTCAATTTTTTGTGCGTTCGGAGCTCTCTTCCCCGATGCACGTAAGGTATCTAGCGATCCCCGCTGTAAGATAAACGTCACGATGCGTGCATGTGTCTTTTTGTTCAGTTTGATAGCGCCGACTTATAAATATGTGCAGATTTCTCGAGGATTCCCTTCCGAAGTTGACCGTGGTGATAGGAGTGAATCGGATCAGAAACAATTAGTTTCCTACATTGTGGTTTGTGGACGCAGTCAGGCTGTTCCCCGCGTGAGATACGCTCGGAGAAAATCGAATAAAGGTCACGAGTTTATGACGAAATCCGCGCTCCTCCATAAGGCTCCTATTTCCATTCGATCGGAGTTCCAACTCGTTGCTGTAGCTGATACGAGATCCTCGAGCGACCACATACGGCGGGGGCGACGGGGAAATCCCCCAAGGATGAGAGTGAGTAGCGTCATGTAGTCCGGGCTCGAGCAACATTTGAATTGGGCTCCTCGGTGAGTGTTCCCCAAAAGAAGCTTTCAAAAGCAGTTGGTGTCCTCGACTGACCTTCGGAAAAAATCCTTATGGGATGTTGGCTCCCCTTGCGGTCGTGTCAGGAGCAGAAACGGACAGGAGGTCTCGGTCGTCGGACATTCTGACGCGGTGTTCGATTCTGTGCGGATAGCCTGCGCCCCGACTTTTCGCGGTAACGAACCTCTTATTTCAGACGTTTTCTGGCAACATTCTCTCTCGGATCGGGCTGCCCCGGTGAAGAAAACGCTATAAATAGATGTTACCCCTCTGGGTTCCTGTGGAATGTTTGTGACAAAACGACGACAGAAACGAACAACACGTTAAGCTCTCCACCGAGCAGAAGACGCACCGACAGACGTCCGGTGTGGTCGAGCCGTTCTCCCGGTCAGTCACCCTAATGAGATCCTGTCAGAGATATTTAACGAGCATCGCTTCGCCTTCCCCGCGTCAAGAACGACACGGCGGATAGGGAAACACTGTGTTCCACACTTGAGGCTTCTTTCGGACCACACAAAAAACCCACCTCCCGACTCCCAACCAACTACATATATAAGGAGCAGCCACTTTCCACAATCCCGTTGTTCGGCACATCCACTTAATATCTGCAGCGAGAAATGAAGGAAGGCGGTACTCGGGTGGCGTCGGCCCTGACATTTTCTTAGAGCTGAGAACGATTCGACAGAACTATTTATCGGAAATGAATCGTGAGTTTTTTCGTCCCCGATACAGCGACTCGCAAGCCATTTTATCGAAGAGCGGTGTTCTCTGGCTGGGACGATTGCATGTCGAGTTGCGTCCGAGACCAACTCCGAATGAGCACCTCCGATTCCGATGTGTACGCCGGTCATGGCGAATGGAGGCTCACTGCCCTCTCAGAAGGTGTCTGGCCCCCGAATAATAGTGGAATCATCATTCTAGCCGACAGCATCCGGACTCATAGCCGTGCCTCTCCTCATACGCAATTACTGAAATTCAGCGACGCAAAGTAGCGAGCGACCCCAGCGGCAAAGTCTGGAACTCATTCCCCCCACTGTATCGCTGCATCTCTCACGAGCATGTTCGCATCGATTCGGCGGCAGCGTCGAAGAGATTCCCCATTGTATTTCGAATCATGCTGCCTCTCTCAGGGCACCCCAAGAGCGGAATGCAGCGCTCGGCCGTCTGTCGCTCGGCTTCTCGGAAGACCGGCCGACCCTGTTCCTGTTTCGCGGTGATTTCCGTCTGGGAATGCGGGAAGAATCAAGGATGACTGGTCTAGGATCCAGAGAGGAAGTCAATTCAATATTCAATATTTGTCGTGATTCGGCGGAGGACGACCAAAGTATCGATTCTAAGAAGCGACGTTCGGCGACGTCTCGTCGCGAAATGTGCGAGCCGGGCTCCCCAGGAGACTCTTGTCAGCTCGAGTCTCGCGGAGCTTAGCCGCCGCGCCGCTCCTATTTTCCTCCTCTCGTTCGCCTATCTTCTTTCCCTTCCGCCTCCCTCGAACAGAAAAGTCCAGACGGATAGGAGAGCGTCGGGTCAGAATCAGGGGGGAAAAGCTAGCAGCGATGGACCTGCAGGCGGATGTTCAAATCTTAACACCACTGCGCCAACTTTCATCCCCATCTTCTCATGGGCTCGGGGAGACTTTCGAGTAATCTCTGAAATCCCTGAATCGAATTTAAGCGTCGCGACGCCTCTTTCTACTCGGTATCTTTCTATCTCCTGAATCGCAGCGTCCGTGGCTCTTGCGGGGCTGATGTTGATAGTCGAATCGGGCTGTTGGGTACTTCAGACTGGCGGAGCACTGCCGGGCTCGCAGACGGGCGGCGATCGACCCGAAACGGAACGGAGGGATCGAATCGACACCCGGATGAGAGCGCTTGCCTCCTAGACCAATCTGTAGCCCTTCTCGTCGGACATTGGTTGATACCTATTCCAGACGAGGTCAGTACCGCCCTGTCTACACATGAGAAAGGAAGGACATTCTCAATCGTTAGATATGTACAGTCAACTCGTACCGAAAATTTTTTTTTCGCTGCCTTCCCAGTTTACCTCGTTGTAGAGTCGCATTCGCCAGCCGAAGAAGAATCGTCGCGCTCGTGCCTCGCCGTCCGCCTTCAGCTGCAGGTGGGCGAATTTGTTTTGGCACCAATTTCGAAAAGCACTGCGCTCGCTAGTTCCTAGGCCCCTCTCGTTCATTCGCTTCGCACCGAAGAAATTGCCGTTTCGGAAAAGCGAAAAACCAACAGCCTACAAAGAGGTGTGTGTGTTTTCGCTTCACAGTCTGGATAAATCGTTTTTGGACTTGAATCGAACAAAAGCTCACCCGACGTCAGGGCTCGGCCGCGGTATCCTTTCAACTGGTGGCTTTCAGGATAGACGCCTCCGACGACGATTCTATTTATTTTCGCTCTCGTGCTATGCTCGGGAGTTCTATGCCAGATCGTTCCCGTCCGAGCCCGCGGCGGATACGGCTAACTCGCCTCGGCTCTGTAGTCCCTGGAGCAATGAGATCTCGAGAGAAGAATTCGTCGACGGCTTCGCACACGGGTCCAACGGGGAGGAGAACGAAGTGAGCTATCCGACCACTCGACCGAGTCACCACTCACCACAGTCTTCGGTCGTCATCGTCATGAAAAGAAGGAATCTATGATCGCTCCCCGGGGTGTACTCAGTCGCGAATAGAGATTAGACTTCGCTCGAACCTCAGGTGTCGTCGCCACCGTGGAATCGTCGCGGCGAATTGTCCAGTTGCCGACATTCCGTACAGTCTGTCGTGAAATATGCTCCCGGGCGTGATGTTGAACTTCGTGCTGAGCGCAACTTCGCTACAACCGGCCAGCCTCCGGGTCGCCTCCGATATTTTGAACGGGGGGAAGCGAGGAATCCAATCTGGCGGAGCAGTGCGAACACCGACTCCGAGGGAAATCCTCCATCATGAATATTCGGCCGGGCAGATCGATAATCCGTCAGAGATGAATGGAAACAGCTACGGCGAGGAAAATCTTCTCAGCAATAGGTTTAGTACTCGCTCCCGGATCCCAGGCCGTCGCCAGATTCCCGGTTTCCGGGTTCTATCCGAGCTCCGTAAGCTTCTTGTCCGATCATCTTCTTCACGAACGGGCATCCGGAATTCGGGCTTTCGGTACTCGGGCATGCGGGAGTCGTGCGCTACAAGCAATGCTTCGGGAATCCTCTCCCACATGGCGATCGTGTCTTAGCCACTACGAACGGAATCCATTGCAAAGCTGCTCGTCGAGTACTTTGCCGCTTTGCACGTCCTCACGAAGCACACGTTCAATCAAGTTCTGCACCCGGTTCTAGAGTCGTTCAATTAATGCTCCGTCTCATGATTCTCTCTCTTATTTCTAGAATCTCTTCGATGACATTTCCCGAGCGCCTGCCCACCGAGATGTGGCTCCGCCCGTACATGCGCAGCGGTAGCTTACCCGTCGGTGTAAGAACCGCTTGCGTCTCGCAGTAGCAACGGAGTAACCTATTAGAACAGCAATCTCCTAGGAAGCATCCCAATTGAAACTTTGTTATTAAGCGTCCTGCGAAGCTTGCTACGTGCACTATCAGAGTTTATCACAACGACGCGCCGTCGGGCACCGTTGCACCTCAGCGAGGGGAGAAAGCTCCGCGCCAGGTAACGCGTGCTAGTTGAAAGACGACGTGCGCAATAAGAGTATCACTATCAGCACCGCACGACACGATATATATTCAGTCGGATCGTCCGTCCGTCTTACCTTGTGGACTCGGTGGGGGAGAGCTCGGATTCTCGGAGCTCACAATGGTAGGACTGGCCCCGCTGATTGCGAACGTCTGCTCGCCGATCGTTAAACCGTTACTACCAGCTTTGTGTAGGTTCGTTTCTCTCTTTCGCGCCGCCTTTCAACAGACAGAGATTCAGGTTTGCTCGTTTTTATGGCGGCGAATAATTGCTTCCTAATGAAAGCGACTGCTCCAGACCGCCAACTTGCCAACTTCGCCGAATTCCGCCGGCCCACTGGTGAGGAGAATAAACTCCCAGTTCCCGCGAGCCACAGCTCGCGCACTCGATGGCTGGCGAGAGTGGGGACGGGCGTGGGTCTGGATAACTCGGTCATAGTCCGCTGACTCGTATGAAGAGAAGGCCCGGAGTTCAGACCTCCGAATATATCGTAGGGGAGCGGAAACGTTGATCCGGGGGAGGCCGTCGACGCTCTCCCGGAGCTTGACGTGTTCATCCATCGATTCATTATTATCGAGGAAGAGCGTGGACTCATTCTGTGCTCTTGTCATCCTTCGCCATGTTTTTCTTGTTGCTCTAACTACGTGTGCTGATTTACAATTCAATTTCCAGCTGTGACCTGTTCCCCGGGGAGTCAGCCGGTCGGTCGGTCCGTCGGTCGATCGGTCGCTTT